TGACGTTCTAGAACATTTATCTCAAAGAACTACACAGAACCATAGAGATGGTATATTTGGTGAAGAGTTTAGAAAGAAAGTTAGGGAGAGAGAAGGAAGAGAACCTATTGTACATGACCTTGCAAACGAAAGTTTGCAAAATGTCATAAAAACTTACTTTGCAGACAATGAACCGAGAAGGGATGAATATTTAAGAAAACTCAAATGGACAGTACCAAATGAAATGTTAGTATTGAAAAACATGTTCCTTGACAAAATAAAACCAACTACAGAAATAAATGACGCAAGACTGAAACATTGGGTAAAAGCTTTCCCATTCACAAAAGATATTATTGGTAACATGGAAAGAAAACCAGAATGGCTACAAAAACATATATTTGGAAACGAGCATATTCCATGGACAAGCTCTGTTTGAAGAGCTTGAACCGGAAACTCAGGAAAGAGTCATGCAAACAATACGCGAAGACTAAATACAAACTATGACAAAACTTTCTAGGATATAGGTTACCTGAGATGGGCGACCAGAGCCCAAAGGCAAAAAGGACATGGGAAATTTACAACATACTAGGTGAACATGAGGCAAAGATGCAACGACTTGAAGCAGAGGGCAAGTTACCAAAAGCGACACCAAAGAAGAAGAGTAGAACAAAGTGAAAATAGTGAAGAAGTAACTTCATCTAGTGAAAGTAGTGGCAATGAAGGAAAAAGAAGAGTTAAAAACTCAGTCAGGAAGAAAGTAAAGCTTGGTACGAGTGGGTTCTATTATGATATATAAATCCAACTATTCTATATTTTACCCATATGAAATGTACGCCGCTCAGAATATAACGCCAACAGTTTTGGATGCCATGAACGGAAATGTTTCCGAATGGTATAACGAATGCGACAATGCCATTAGAAGGTCAGAAATAGTTCCTGGAACTTACGAATATACAACTGCTGTTTCTTATGGAAACGTAGGTGAGTTTGGAGAAGGTTCTTCAACAACAGTAGATATTGCTTGCGACAGGTTTCATATTATTTCTATTGACAACTCATTCTTATACGTGGAACAAGACATTGAAATAAAACCTTCTGCCAAGTTGTCTGACAAGAAAGGTTGCAATGGAATTTTCTATGTCGGATACCAATATGCTCCAGAAGTTTTCATGGGATATAAGATATATTCTAACTCTGACTTAGTTCAAACAGTAACATGGGCAAACTATGAATGGTTCGCTTTGAGAAACTCAGTACAACCACAAGCTAGAGAACAAACAGACCAGTATGCAAATATTGAGAAAATAAGAAGACTTGACCCTAACGTTCCAGGAGTTTATGTTAACCTTTCTGGTTCAGATGGAACTGCTGCCACTAAAGTAAAACTGAAACTTAGAGTTCCTTTGTCATCTTTCCTCATCTTCAGGTTTTTAAGATACTTGCCAAACTGGGCAGGAAAAATTTCTATCGAACTTACTCCAAGCAAAAATAACTTAGTCATTGCACAACACAAGACCCATTCACTATTACAGACGTAAAGGGAACAAATCAAACGTCATTCGCCGAATTTTGCAAAGACAAAGTTGACTTAGACTTTGGTTTCTCAAACTTCAACAATGAAGTAAACTATTTTTCAATGCTGCTGGAACTGCTTGGGACCCAGTTAAGTTCACATGCGAAAAATTTGAATGCAAGAGAATAGAAAGCAGACTTGCAGTCTATATGTTGGACCCAGATATTTCAAATGCTTTAGCTGCCAAATATATTGCAGTTCCACTTATGTTCCCTATACACCAAATATCTGTCAAAGACTTTGCAGGTGAAGTTGGAAACCAAAGTGCTGACCCAGGTGCAAGAACAGATATTGCTTTAACAACTGCAATGAAACATGCAGATACTATGTTTGTACTGTTCAGACGAACTATAAATGACTATTCTTGTTTCTACAACCCCGGTATTAAATATCATATAAACATAGATGGCAAATATTATCCAAGAGAAGAATATTCTACAGTTGAGGATATGAGGTCATACAACTTGACATTAGATGCTATGAACTTTAACAACAACTTCACAACAACCATTAACCCTGAAATGCAAAGTTCTATTATGCCATATGTGAAAGTATGGACTCATACAGGAGGTCAAAAAACTCAATATACAAATGGAGACCGTTCAAAACTTTTGGCTTGGCATTCCATTTGCTGACTCAGAAGACTTTATGGGTGGTATTTCAACTGTTGGTACTGTACAAATACAATATACTGGTGACAGAGACGGTCCAGATGAACTGAGAGCAAAGAAGTTTACAAAACCAATAGCACTTTTCACGGAAATGCTCTTTTGAAGATTCGTTCGATGAAACCTGCTGGGCTCCTCAGATTGGCATAACGACAGCTTCCATCGAGCAGATTTTGGCAGCAGGTCAGTAAGTTGTTCTTGAACTGACTTCTCTCCGTCAAATATTGACAGTACGCCAGTTTTGACATAATATTGTATTATAAACTTACCTTTAGAAATATCTGTAAGTTTTTTGTTATATTTTTGTCTGCTTCAAGAACTTTCACCATTTCAGTTATACCAACTTTCTTTGCTTTATGAAAATATTTTGGTTCAGCAAATATTGCTATTCTATAACATTTACCATTGTTTGTATAAAGAACTATTCTGTCAATGTATTTGTATTGTTTGTGTGTGTAAACTTTGTTCTGCATCAATTCGAAGAGATACTCGAATACGTCCATCTTTTTATTCTAAGTAAAATGTCATTTCCGAAAAATAGAAGCGTGAGTGTTTCAAAAGGTTTAATGGCGGTGGCAGATGTGAAGTTAAATTCACCAACTCAAACAAACAGTCAAAGTGTTGTTGTCAATGTCAAAGACAGAGATGTTGAAGTGGGGAAACCATACGAGGACGAAGATGGTATAACAATTGTTCCTGTAAAAGAACAACCAACATATCCTGAAGTTAGCAGAGACTTAAGTTCTGTTGCAGATATTCGAAACGACTACCAACAACTTAAAGACAAACTTCAAACTCAGGAGAAGATTTGTCAAGCTTTAGGTATAATGTTAAACTTGGTCGAACACAACCCTGTAAAAGTGAACTCATATGTCATTGCACCTCATGAAGTTTTGAAAGAACTATTGAAACTTTTGACAGAGGCAGACGATATAAACATCAAAGAAATAGAACCCGACATTAGTTGCTGTGGTGTTTCATATAATTCATTGACAAGATATACGTTATGAAAGAGGTGAAAACGTTGAACTTAAAGTATAGTTTCCCAGACGTCATAAAAATATTTGACGACCACAACATTTCATTAAAATTTATTTGCTAAGTAAAAATGTCAAAACTTCTTGAAGATGTTTGAAGAAAAATAATATAGACTTTATTTCATATAAAGGACTTTACACACTTTTTGAACGATATGAAAGACCCTGTTTTGTTTGTTCGTGTAGACAAAGGAAAGTTCTATGTCTTTACAAAATATTTGAACTTCTTAGACAGAGAACTTCAAGAAACGCCATGTGAAAGTTTAGATGAAGTTCTTCTCCACTTTCAGAAAAACTTTTAAATATATATAAATGGCAGAAGACATAATGGTTTATACTATTACGACTAAAAACCTGAGTCATATAATTCTATAACAACAAACTTACAAAGTCCTCAAGGACGATATTGTAAACTAACTTTAAACAATGACGACTAAAGCCTGTTTTGCTCTTTTGACACCAGAAGACTTTATTGTTGTGAATGGCAAAAAATACTCCTTTGAAGATACTTACTCAGATATACCACCAACAGGTTTTGTTTGACTTATTTAATACTTTAAGTACGGGTGTAACATGTGCTGCAACTAGAGCAGGTTTCATTATGTTTGGATGTCCGACTGAGTTTACTATAAACAATATGAGCTATAATACAAAACTTATTTCTGGTTTTTACTACCAACAGTTTTCCTATAACAGGAAAAGGTGTCATACAAGGAATGTCTGTTCCATTGACTTTAAGTACACCTATTTTATATATTGTTTCAAACTTAGGTTCAAAGTGCTATTCGAATGTCGACAGAAACTATTATGACCAAAAGATACTTATGCGTATAAACAATACTTTCTCTGCTGGTTTGCCTATTGTTCATTCGAAATGCAGAATTTTCAACCTTAGTGAACTCAAACACTTTGGCAAGTATAACGTTGACATTAGTTGACGCAAACTTTGTTCCTGTAAAACTTTTATGTCCTATGTATTTGTCAATGACGGCAGAAAGTTTCGAATTGGAAGATGCAACTGGTGAAAGTATTGTATTACAAGAACAACTTCAACAAACAAATAGCTCAAGAACAACAAATGCAACAAATGGAACAACAAAGTCAAGAATAAAAAAATATTATTTTTTTATTTTTATAAAAATGTACAGAATAGATGTTTCAGATTTTTATGACTTCCAAGCATTCAGAAATATGTGTCCATTCGAGACTATAACAAAGCAGTCGAGAATTTGAAACGTTTAGTCATTTATGTCGACTCTGCCCCAGAATGTTATGTCATGAAAGAATGGGATGTTGTCTTTAACAAACCAAGAGCAACAATAGTTTCAGAACAAGAATGTAGACAAAAACTTAAGAAAATAAAAGTTGTACAAGTTGGTATGAAAGATGTTAGATGCTTGGGATATCTTATTGTCAAAACTTGAAGATTTTTCAGTTCGTGTATAAAGTTTTTATACACCTTCTCCAAACTTCTATTCTATCTTCACTGGATATAAATACGAACAAGTAGAATGGAAAGAAAATATTATAGAAAGCTTGGTTTAGACCATGTCAAAGAAATTATATGCAATGGAAACGAAAGAGTCTATGAGTATATTCTTATGTTGGTTTCAAACATTCTTACAACATCCAAGTGCTAAAAATGAAACTGCTCTCATTATAATTGGAAAACAAGGAACTGGTAAGAACACATTCTTTACAGATATTTTGTGCAAACTGTTAGAAGGTTATTCGAATCCGAATATGACAAACTTAGAAAACATCTGTGGCAAGTTTAACTCCTCAATAGAGAATATGAAACTTATAGTTTGCAATGAACTTCAAAGTATAGATACAACAAAAGTTTTGAACTCAGATGCTTTGAAGAGTCTTATAACAGACAAAGTTGGAGTTGTTGAAAGAAAGTATAAAGACCAAAGAGTTTGTGAAAATGTTGCAAACTTCATTATGGTTTCAAACAATACTGTTCCGATGAAGTTAGAAAGTTCTGACAGAAGATATGTAGTTGTCAGAACGTCAGATTCTCATATGCAAGATACAGAATATTTTGACGACTTAGCAGAAACTTTGACATCTGACTTTTACAACCACTTGTTCTCATATTTTATGACATTAGATATTTCAAAGTTCAATCCAAGACAAATTCCACATACCGAAGAGAGACAAACATTGTTAGAAGCAAACAAGAGTGTATATGAACAGTTCATAGATGAAACTGACTTTGTGTCATTAGATGAAAGGTCATTGTACGATTCGTATAAACAATATTGTCAAGAATATGGTTATATGACAGCGTCTAAACGTACATTCTTGGCAAATGTCAAAAGTCTTTTAGATGTTCAGAATGGTGTATATACAAAGAAAAATTTTTCTGAGTAAATTTAAAAAAAATATTTTTTTATCCGATAGAAAAGATGACAAAATTCATCTCAGTAAACAAGTACATGTCAGGACTTAAAGAAGAACTAGACCCATTCACATATTTGAATGTTTACTTCTACCATTTTGAAAAGTCTTCATTCAGCAAAGTTTGGAACATCGAACCAGTTAAGTTTGCTATTGTGACTAAAAATGGTGCGAAATTTGAAGACTTAGACATAGAAGGTTTGTTAGCAGTCAAAGAAATTTTGACAGAAGGTTCTCAAACCTTAAAGAAGGCAAAGCATACAAACTTGTTATACCTTATGAACCAAAGAAGACAGACGACTATGAATATTATGAGTCTAAAGTTGTAGAAGTTCAAGGTAAATTGGGTAAAAAGATTTTAGAGTCTAAGCCAGTGTTTACTCCTAAAGAGGAAGAGAACATTGACATTGACCCAGAAATGTTCTAAAAATAAAATTTTATTTTTACATGTCAAATTTCTTTTTCTCTGGAACTGGTTCAGGTTCTTTCTTCTCTTCTTCGACTTTCTTTTCTTCTTCTACTTTCTTTTCTTTCTTTTCTCTCTTCTTCTTCTCTGGTGGAGTTATGTCAAATTTGGCGCAACTATATTTATGTAAAAGTTCTTTGTCCTTTAATAGCTCATCTATTCTGTTTTCTATTTCATCTTCAAGAACAGCGCATGTGTCTTCTTTGCATTCTAAGAACTTTTGTTGGACTTCATCTTTCCAATCGGCGTCATCTCTGTCAACAAGTCTGTCATTGACAAATTTTAAGACTGCTCTTTGTAATGTTTTATGGTTCTTGTCATATTCCCAGAAACAGAACTTTAGAACAAATTCACCTTTCTTGTTTACACTATGTAAGATTTTATGGTCGACAGATGTTTTGCTGTCGAAAAGCTTGTCTCGAATATAGATAGCGAAATCGCTAGACATTTTCTAAAAGATAAAAATTTTAATTTTTCTAAAAATATGTTAGAAAAAAAGTTTGCTGACATTGACAAGAAATTTGAGAATGTTTTAAACAAGAACAAGAGGAAGTTAGAAAATGCTCAGATAAAACCTATACATGACAAGTTCTTATTTGCTCAGAATGGTATAACAGGTCTAATTGCACCACCTGGGTCGGGTAAGACTTTCACTTATCTTAAAATGGCTGCACAACAACAAGAACTAGATGAGAAGAACCATTCTATGAGTTGGTTGTTATTTGTAGTACTTCTGGTCAATTTGACCAAACCGTCAATTCGTTCAAAGATATTATAAAGAAGTCTAAGTTAGTATGTATAAAGGATACTGAGTTGTTAGATTGGATAAAGAAGTACCAAAGAAGAGTTTTGAAGTATAATGCTATAAATGAGTATATAAATTCTAAGTTTAAAGACCCAAATGAGGAAATGCAGAGAATATTAGAGAAGAAACACTTCAGAAACAAACAGAAAGAGATAGAATACATTTCGAAGAAATTGCAATCTTACGATTGGAAGACATACCCTCATAGATGTCTTCTTATCTTAGATGACTTTGCTTCTCATCCTTTGCTTAAGAATAGAGAACAAGACATGTGTCGAATTCTTAAGAAGCTCAGACACTTTAACATCTCAGTTGTCATTTGTGTACAGACAGCAAAGAGTTTAAGTAAGGATGTTAAAAGAATACTTACTGACATTATACTTTTCCCCGGATTGTCCGAAGACGATTTCATGGAACTTATGAAAGAGTCCATGGCAGGTAAGTTTGACAGACATGAACTATGGGAGAAGTACAAAGTCATACAAGACCCTCATACTTCTTTCAGAATTCATCTCTACGCAAACAAAGTTCAAATTGTAAAAAGTCAAGCTTGAAAAATAAATGGTTCATTTACTCTACTTGTTTGAAGTTGTCAAAATACTCTGTTATTTTTTCCTTTAACAATGGCAAATCTTCTTTGAATGTAAGTATTGTACAACCTTTCATATCATAGTGTGTTTGAGGTAACGTATCTTGAACTATTTGTTTCACATCTTCATTTGGGGTCATTGAAATCGGTAAGTTTTCGCGATAGAACCAATTTCTGTCAGATTTGTAAATCTTAGCAAGGTCGTAAAAGCTTTTGTTGTTTCTTCTGACTAAATGCAACATAACCATATCTTTATCTTCTTCATTTTCCATCTCTTCAGTATAAATCATATACTTATAGTTCTTTTCCTTTCCTTTTGGTACCGAACGTGGTATTCTTTTCTGAATGCTTTTGTCTTTTGCTTCAAGCTTGTTCTCTAGCTCTTCGCGTTCTTGTCTGTGAATTTCGTCAAGAAGTTTACAAACATACCAAGCATAACGAGCTGAAGCCCACATTGCTACAGCATTTACGAGAAGTCTATGAACATAATATCCTCTCAAACCGTTTGGCAATTTTTCACGATTTTCATAGAGTTTTGGCGACTGGGGTTTTTTACCTACTCGCTGTTCTTCACTGTTTTCATAGAGTTTTGGCGACTGCGGTTTTTTACCTACTCGAGTTTTTGCGACTACGAGAAAATCCGTAGTCGAATTTTCAGCTTCATTTAATAGTTCAATAGTGCTTTGGTTCCTAAACCAGTCTTGTGGTTTCTTAGTATCTGGAGCAAAACATGCTGTCAAAATACTTTGCATTTGGTACATATCGTCTTTGACCGAACGAATGAGACGGAGTTGTTTGTTAAACTGTATGTACTCATATTCTTCATTTATAGCTTCATGAACGATAGCAGTTGTTGTGTTCTCTGTTGTTGACATATCTGTCTTTACATACAAAATAAAAAAATAAATAAAAATAAAACTAACTTTATTTTTTCTATTTTGTATAAAAGATATGATTTCAGGGATTTTTTTTACGAAGTGTCAAAGTTCACTTCGTCAAAAAATAACAGTTATATAATGAAAAAGTGTCATTTTTTCATGTCCGAAGACTCGAAGGTGCAACACTTCCAAAATACCGACGAACTCAGAAGAGCAGCATGGCAGTATCTTCTTGACAACTTCTTTGAGTTCTCCAGGTACACCTTGGAAAATGCTGAAGAACTCCGACACAGAGAATTTGGAGAAATTGCACTCCAATACTACCTTGACAAACAAAGGGTAAACAAAGGGTAAAATAAGACTAAAAACTTAACATTTAAAAAGTGACATTTTTATGAGCTCCGAGTCACCGAGAAAACTTGGTCAGATGTTAGCAGCTTACTTCCCTGAGGAGGATGGAAGCGTTACATACATCAGGTTCAAAAACAACGAACCTGGAATTGCGTACAAAATTCGCAATTACATGACCATGGAAGAGTACGAAAGGTTCCTACAAGAGAAACCAGCTCTAAACAACTCAGAAAAGAAAGAATAAAAAGTTTAACTCGTAATTGTTTTTTTTTTACTTGTATGGGCAAGCTGCAAATGAAGTCGACTATCTCAGTCTTTGTTTTGACGAGCTGGACGGCTCTTGCGAGTACGTCTGTTTTGCGGTCTCCAGCTGGTGTCTGACCTTCGTAATTGCGCATGTTCTTGAGAGCTCCAACTGTAAATGATTGTAGGATGAAGAGTCTCTCAGACTGCTTGAGGTAGTCTTCACGGTCACGAACTGAATCTGTGGTACGAGTCGAATCGGTCGATTTGAGGGAAGAGACTGAAGCCCGTCTTCCATAGGGGCTGTGGCATAATCTTTGCGTAAGCGGTTCAGACCTTCTTCGAACTCTTGGTCTCTCTTCGATTTGGATTGAGATTGGAATTGCTGGGGTGGAGCTTGCTGGAACATCCAAGGTTGGGGAAGTAAGGCATAGGCTGAGGAGGAGGGTAGTTCGGGAAGCCTTGTGGTGGGTAGTAACCTTGAGGTGGAAATTGGTAGTAACCTTGAGATGGAAATTGGTAGTAATTTGGTGGAGGGACTTGCTGGAACTGAGGTTGCTGAGGAGACTGTTGTGGTTCTGCAGCTTTCGGTTCTTCTGGCTTTGGAAGGCATTCAGGAAGAGGAACGTCAGTCATCCGTTTGTGTCCTGTCGGATGGAAAATATTTTCCTGTCGGAAGGAAAAACTTTTCCTGTCGGAAGGAAAAATTTTTCCTGAAGTTCGACCAAAAAGTTCTCAATTTTCGAAAATTTGAATGGTTTACGGACGGACAACTGGAAGAGTTCTTCCTGTCGGAAGGAAAAATTTTTCCCTTTGTCCGGAAAATTTTTTCCAGTTGTCGGGAAAATATTTTCCTGTCGGATGGAAGGACTCGGAATGCCAGAAGGATTTGACGAGGCAATTTACCTTATAGAGATAAATGAAGTTGTTAAGCAGTACTTGCGCAGGGTAATGAAGCCCAAGGTCAAGTTCACCGCTATTTCTGGAAGGGCTGTCTTGAATCTCGAGACTTCGACTGGAATTCCAATTCAAATACCAGAAAACACTCCTTTCGATGGCATAAAGGACGCCAAAAGAGAAGCTCTTGTTAAGTTCCTAAACAAACGTCCTTGGATAAAAATACCAAACAAGGAGAACCCCCTACCCCATATGAAATTGGCAATTCAGTCTCTCCTTCACTTCTCGGGTCAGCCGTTCTTCATAACCTCAGAAGGCGACATCCAACCAGTACTGTAAACCTTAACGTTTAGAGTAAAAACATTTTTTTCATTTTTTGAATGAAGCAAGTTAAATTCGTCCCACACCAATCTCAATGGACCGATGAAGAGTTTCAAGCCATAGTTGAAGGCGTTGAGAACGATATAGACGGCGAACTTGAAGGAGCTCAAACCACAATTGCAACCAAAATTGCAGAGGTCAAGGAACAGATAGCTCCACTTAAAGCTACCAAAGCTACTCTTGACCTCATGGATAGTTACCGTTTAGATGTCAAGAGTGGAATAAGACAATTAAAATTAAAACTCTTAAACTACGAAGCTATACTCCAAAGTTAGCAGAATGAGAAGACTTTACCAGAGCTACTTACATGTAAGGGACTTACCTTCAAGCAGTCCGACCAAAGATGAATTTTCTGACATTGTCCCAATTTTGTCCGAAAGTCAGCTCAGATGTTTCGAACTGCTCCCAACATATCCAGAATATGAACGTTTGCCAGAACTCTTCCGCAATCTCAAAAAACGTTTTTTGGTTCTCATGTTCGAAACTTTTATCGGAAGAGACAACAAACGTTCAGAAGAAGAACAAGATATTATTTTAAACTTGTTGTATGACATAACTGTCATAACAAGCTTTTTGAAGTAAAACCGCCATTCTCAAACCACTTCATTTTTCGATGTCCGAACAAGCACCGAAGCCGAACACAATAGCAGATGTCCTTTCAAGGTTGCCAGACAAGCGCCCAGTTCAAATTCAAATTGCCCAATTGAAAGCTCATCTGACAAACACCATTAAGACTCTCCAAAGTAGTCTTATGACAGAGATGACCAATCTCAAAGCCGATGTCCTCATGAACCAAGCTTCCAATGAGAAATGCCTGAACGATTTCACGGAAACCTTGCGCAATTACGAGAGAAAACCGAGACCTTGCCAGACTCATCTACCGTTTCTTCGAAGAGATAGACGCCATCTGGAAGGTACTCGGAAAGGACAGAACATGCAACACCGTACTTCGTGAACACAGAATTCGAAGGTATTATCAAAGAAGAGGAAGAAGAGGAAGAAGAAGAGAAACACGAAAAAGGAAGTTTGGGCAACCCTTGTTGCCGATGACCTTACGAAATTTCCCAACCCTACCCATAAAATCCGCACAAGGAGACGGCAAGGTTCTTACCCCAGTCCTCAACAACTTGGGACACTTGAACCTTAACCTTCGGAATCGCGGTTCAATTCCATGGGCAAGCTTGTCGCAATTCAATGGGTTCCAAATCCAGACAAGAAGACGAGGGTCAGACACATTGACGGTGACAAGCTCAACAACCGTAAGGAGAACCTCGAGTGGTTCTAAGAGTAAAAAAATTTTATTTTAGGGGGAAACCCCAAGTAAATTTAGGTGTTTATTTGGATAAGTATGTTAAATTAAGGGTAATTTGCAAAATTAGTTCCCGACCTTTGAATTGGGCTCTTTCGTTATCCCAGTTGCGTAGGAGGTCGTCCCAGAGGAGTTGGTAGAATTGCCAATCCAAGGACGATTTGTCCTCCCAGGCATTGAGGATGTACTGCTCGTAGAGTTTCATGACCTCTGCCTTGCACCAGACACCCTCTCCCTTGGAACGTAAGGCTTCTTCGAAGTGCTCGAATGCGATTGGCTGCGTGACCATCCGAAATGACACTTTTTGTCCGTTTGGTCAATGTTCGTGTCTCGTGCCATAGTCGACGAAAATACAGACAAACAGGTTATATATGAGTTTGAGACCAAGAATGGTGTAACTCGACCTGTCCGATTCAAAGACTCCGAGGGCGACCATGAAATTAAACGGAAATTAGCTAGGAAGGAATATAAAATGGACTGGTTGCCACCACCTCCACCTCCACCACCTTTACCTGTTCCTCAAGTAAATAAGCCTTTCCCGTTCCCAAGAATTCCCACATTTTAATTCAAATTCGAATAAAAATTTTTTATTTCATGCAATGTTTTATTTCTGTGCCGTCTTCAAGTATGCCCCAGTACTTACGCTTGGAGAGGACATGAACTTCGAAAATTTTGTCTAGCTTAAAAAGACCCATCTTTTCACCGACCATCCCATTTCAATGAGTTTGTTGTATCCTTCTTCGTTCGTCATGAGTGCGTCAATGTTCTCATAGTAAACCTTCACTTTGGATTTGACTTCGGAGAAGAATTTGTTGTAGTTGTCAAGGACTGCCTTTGCGAACTGAGGGTAAGACCAATGTTCGACAATAGGTTTTAATGTGGTTACTAAGCCACTTTGACCTTGAGTGAATTCGTACTTCAAAACAAAAGGAGAAAACCTTTCAACAAAGTTGTCGACCTTCTCATAATGTTTACTCTTCATCTCTTGAGGTTTCTTAATGGAATATCCCCATGTCGAATTCATAAGCAATTTGAGTGTCATTGCAAGTTTGGGGTTTGAAGCTTTCCTAATATCATACAGTTGTTGTATGACTTTTCCAACTGTATAGTTCCTTCCCGGGAACTCACCATCTTCGTTTGGAATTCCAGTCGGAATATATTGGACAAACCTCATGTATGCAGCGTTAAGGTCGACATAGTATATCTTTTCATCTGAGTCGAACTTGTCGCAACCAATTGGTCCAGTTTGTGGAAATTCAAGTGAGTCTCTTATCTTCTGAGAAACTTCTCCTGTTATCTCATAAACATCGTCGAAGCAACCTGTTTCATATAAAACCTTCTGACCTAACTCAGATGCTCTCCAATACAATTTGACGTCAATTGGATGTCTCAATGGAAGTTTGTTTATAGCATCTTGAAGTTCTTGCAACCTCATTGGAAGTTCTTCTGGTTCAGGTTGGTATCCGAACAATCCAACTCCTTTTGGAATTGTGTACTTCTTTTGTACTAGAACTTTGTCTGGAACAACTTTTGGTCTTGCTAACAGTGAAAAGTTTGTTTCGTCTTTTGGTACAAAAGTTTCTGTCAGCTTGTCATCTGGAATTGGTTCCAACAAACCTTTCTCGAAAAGAATGTTTACAGCTCTGACAATGTTGCACTTGCCTTTTCCGAACAATGGGTTTGTAAGACTTTCGTTCAACATGAAGTGGTTGTGGACAATTACAATCTTCAACCATGGTAAATTGAACTCAACAACATAGTCGTCATGTGAAGAACCTTTAGCTGTAGGTATGTTGACTCGGATATTGACATTTGCCAACGGTGCAATTTTTGCCAATTGACCTCTGAGAATGTACCTTGTCTTCACACATGACTCAAGATACTTCATCTTCTCATCTGTAACAAGACCAGAGTTCCTGAGACATGTAAGAATGCAAGGTTCATTGACAATTGTTTCAATTGAATTGTAAATTCCATACCTTGTCAAGTCAATGTCAGACTTATTTATGAACGGAAGTATCCAGCATGTTGTCTGACTGCTTGAGGGTTAGGTTGGTACCATTCGAACTTGACACTTGCAATTCCTTCAATTGCATTCAAAATGTCTGAGTCGGAGTCAACCATTTGTTCTCTCTTTGTAGTCTTGAAAGCGTCAAGAAGTTTTGCAGCTGTTTGTTCATTGCCATTTGCATAGTAAATGTGACCATCCAAATCGTTATGGTCAATCTGAGATTGTGTCCTTTCTTATTTCCGTCTTGAATTGCAGCAAGTACCCATGAAGCCTTCTTTGTTCTTTCCTTCGTCAAAGTTTACTGTAAAGGTTCGACCAGATGTAATTTGACTTCTAACTTCACGTACTTCTCATATGCATATCTTGTTCTTTCCATGGGAGCATGACCATCCTCTGCACTACCTTTTTTCCTTCTCAAAGGATGCAATTGTTCGTCATGTTTCCAGTAGAATCTGGCAAAGCCGTCGTGTCCTTCAACTTGAGGTTCACTAACATCGAAAGGCATGTCCATAAGACGTTCTTCTTCTAACCTCTCTAGTCTGTTTGGATAATTGGCACGTGCTGTTTCCAAATCCATTTCGTAGCGAAGACCAGCCAGTTTGTCATAGACTTTTATGGGTCTTCCTTTCTTATATTTAAACTTCTTCGAAACTCTCCAACCATATCTTTGTAACTCTGCTTTTATTCTAGCAGACTTTCTATCCATTCTATATGGGGGCATTTTTATAAAAATAAAAAAATTTTTTTTCTTTACTTAACATAACCGCCTGCTGCCATAAGTCTTTGACGCCAACCCATACCAGCTAATGAAGGTTGACTTGGTTTAGTTTGGAAACTAAACTTTGGTTTTGGTTTATCTTCAGTTTTTGGTTTTTCTTCTTCTATCGGTTTTTCGTCACTTTTCGGTTCCTCTGACTTTACTTCACTGCAGGAACAGTTGTATCGTCAACATCTTCATAAATATCATATGCCATTTGTTTTTGTTTTCCTTTCAACTTTTTGTGTTTGTTGTAAAGTTTAGAATATTTCGACTCTAAGTCAATGAGATGTTCTATAATGAACTGTTGGTCAGTGAAGTAAACTTTTCCATCTGTTGTCTCGAAAGCTCCTTCAGACTTCAATATTTTATTTGTGAGAGTCTGTTTCTTTTTTGAGATACTAGCCGTTCCATTTCTATGAAAAGTGACTTTATAGTTAGGGTTTGTATTTCCAGACCTGGCACTTTCTATTATTGAATTTTTCTCTTCATCTGTAAGTTCTTTGACAGGTTTTGACAATGGTTCTGAACTTTTTGTTTGTGGTGTCAAATCTACCGTTTCAACTTCTTCGGTCATTTCATCTCAGTAAAAAATTTTAGTTTGGTTTGTTTTCAACTGGTTGTTTAGGTTTTTTAAGTCGGTCTAAAACTTCCTGAGGTATAGGAAGAACTTGACAAACACGTTGTGTAACTGCTGGAAGTCGACAAATCCATCTTGAACCCATTTGTCTCAATGCTGTATTGTTCATTTCATCTCAGTAAAAAACTTTACATTCCCACGTTTGAGGCGGTTGAGGTTGGTTATTGTTTACCCATTGTTGTGCATGGTTATATCCTCTGTTAAAGAATCTTTCACCTTGGTCCATATAGTGTCCTGCTTGGTTATAGTAGTCATTTGCTTTGTTATAATAGTTTCCTGCTTGTCTTCCTACATTGTCCATCCATCCTTGAACTTTTCCTCTTGTTTCAGGATTTGGAATAAGATTTGTTGCATCTCGTGCTACATCCCAACCTTTCTGTACAGTTTGTATAATAGGTTGTGCTTTCTCTTTAAGTATACCTAATGTACTCAAAATCTTCCTTCCAACTCCAAATACACCTCTGGCTATTGTTCCCACTGCGGGCAAAAATCTGGATGCAACTCCTGCTAATGCGCCAAATAAACCCATTTCTTATAGGGTAAAAAATGACGAATCCAAACAAGGACCCCTATGTTTCTAAAGCGACAAAGAAAGCACTCATGATAAAAATCTTTAGTTCAACACCAAATGCTTGGTTTATGGATATCTTGGAAAACATTCCGAGGTATAGAGAAGATGGACCACCATACTGGCTAATATTTGTCGGTCAAAACACAAGATACTGTGAAGCCATACCATTACAGTCCAAAGCTATTTTAGATATCTTAGCAGCTTTGACAATATTCGTTGACAAATACCATCCAACAAAACTGACATCTGACTGTGAAAGTTCTTTCAAATCAGATGATGTAAAAACTATCTGCGTTCAAAAAATGTAAACCAATATTTCATTGTCGACCAAAACCATTCTGCTCTTGGTGTCATTGACGGTTGTATAAAAATGTTAAGAGACTTAAACCAACCACAAGGTGGTGAAGCAAATGAAATGTCATATGACGACAATATAGACACTTCTCCATGGCAAAGATGAGACAAGTTTTAAATATTTACAATAGCCGTAAACAAAAAGGTTTGGGAAACCACTCCCCGAAGAAATGAAAAACAACCCTGACTTAGAGAAAGACTATATATTTAATAATTTAGTCAAAAGAGACAAACAAGAAAGAATGCCGGGCTTCAAACTTCAGAAAGGTGACAAAGTAAAAATAGAAATACCTAAACGCGACCCATATGAAAATACTATTGACTATGACAACAATGGGAACCCGACAGGTACTCACATTCGTGTTCGTAAAAATAGAAGAAAGTATACAAGAGAATATTATGAAGTTTTAGGCAAACATGGCAAAATGTACACACTGCAAGCAGAAGATAAAACTACTATTGTCAGACCTCGTTTCAAACTTGTCAAAGTTCAAGGTGGTATACTTTCAAAGACAGTTCCTAACAAATATAAGACAACTCCTGACGAATATGCTAAAGAAGTTGAAAATGACGACTAAGCATTTCTATACCATGCGTAAACTGTCATGTAAGGTGGCATGTATTCTTTACTTTGTCCCGTTGTTTGCGTATATCCTGAAACGCGATGTGTATGGTTTCCTCCTCCCTCAGTGTTACTCCAGTAACAATTTATAGCAAACTTAACGTTGTCTTTAACATCATATCCTTTACCTTTTGTCATTGCTGACCAATCCCAATATCTATGCTTATGCCAACCTGCTTGAGATGTACTTAAATCTATGTAGTGACTGTGTGCAGGTAAATTTTCACCTGAAATCGTTTTACTTCCACCTGTTTCCTTTGAAGAGTTTGCACAATACAAAAACCTGTCGACTATTTGAGTCCAAGTTCCAAAACCCAGAACTGTTTCTGGTCTGGTAGAGTTCATTGACGTATAAATAGAGCCTATAGGATATAATGTTTGAAGTATTTCTGTCTTTAATGTTTGAAGCTCTGTTTTGTCTGCTTTCTTGTCATATAAATCTTGAGCAGTGAATTTAATATTATGTTCATCCTTCATGACATAAACATCTTTACATCTAATGTTTCTCATCGTCGTTATGTCGTCATCCGATGTTAAACCTTGTGGAAAGTTAGGAGGTTTACATATAATGCATCCCCACCAGTTTCTTCAACCGTTCCTTCAATACTTTCTATAGCAACAGTTGTAAAACTTGTATGTGTATGGTCTTATTTGCTTTCTTCTCTAACTCATCGTTAACATAAGTTTTATCTGCTTTAAGGTCTAAACATCCTGAAACCCATCCTGTATCGGCTTTATTTAAAATCTTCGATGTCCGTTCATGGTACCAGTCAACCCTTTCTTCATTTCTTTATCTTTTTCATCCACATATTCCTTATCCGCTTTCTTCTCTACACTTACTAGCCCATATTCCTTATCTGCTTATTTTCAAGGCTAACGTTTAAGTCTGTTATTTCAGATATAGAAGTGTATGAGTCTTTTTAGAATATTCGTTTTCAGCTCTTGTCACTTCACTTGACATTTTATTGTCAACATATGTTTTGTCTGCTAGTTCAGGATGAGTATGTTCTTTTGTTGCATAAGCATTGTTAGCTCTTTCTTCTTCTTTTGCTATTGCATCGTCTACATATTCTTTGTCAGCTTTGTTGTCAACATCTGCTTTCAAAAGAAGTTCATTTATAGGTTTCTCGTTTAAAGTTCCTTTTGTTGGATTTATACAGACAGTATGGTTCTTATTGTCTTGAAACAGAAACTCATCTGTCATTGGGTTTAATGTCAGTTTTAAGTTTCCTTCTTTCAATGACTCAGATATCTTAGAATATTGAAAAGTTTGTTGTGTTCTTATTTAGAGCTTGCATAATGAGTTGTCGGTTGTGTTGTATTTCTCTCATGGAAGCAATATCTTTCGACATTTTTATTCTAGATAAAATATGCTTCCAATAGAAAAAGAAAATTCAAGAGTTGCTACAACTAAACCATTAGATGAACTTTTTACTAATGTCGGTCAAAAGTTTGAGACAGAGACCGTAAAGCATGAAGGCTATCGTTTTGACTACCCATTAAGATGGTTAAGAGACCCATCTGTCACAAAAGCTATTGGCTTTCGTAGAATGAAGTTTGTGTCTGTAGAAGATAAAAGTTTTCCATTTATTGTAAGGTTTCATATAGATTATATATCTGAAGGGAAACGAAAAATGTGGGAAGAAATTGAGCTAATACAAGTTGACCTTTCATCTTCTCTACAGACTGCGTTAAAAAATATAGAAGATAAAATAAATTCATGTTATGCAAAATATGCTGATGAATATGCAAATACCGAGAGCACACTTTATGTGAGAATTGTATATGACAAACAAAATTCACAAGTGTCATTTCAAATCTACGAAGACAATCCAAATAAAGACGAACAAATATATACAGAATTCACTGCAATGTCATGGTATTATTTGCAAAGAATGTTAAATCAGAAAGTCGAACTTCCTTTAGCAAATATTTACAGTCGATATGCAAGAGATGAACCATATTTATTTAAAGATGTTTTCGACCCAGCTGCTATTATTGTTCATGCTTCATTTTCTGGCGCCCAAAACTCTTTCTTATGCTTGGCAAATGACTTTTACGAAAAACCTACAAAGTTATACGAACCACAAGTGGAAGTATTTCAGACTTTCAAGTATGGTTTACTACAGATGGAAGAAAAAGAATAATTCCATTATACCATGCGTTTTACTTAGAACTTAGTTTCATATACAACTACTATCGAACGGTAAAAATATAATTTTTTTAATACGGTTGAGGTGTTGGATTTGGTTGCCAACTAGACTGTGGTGCAGGTTCAGGCTGTTGTATAACTGGAGCTTGTTCTTCTGGTTCAGGGTCTTTAGGTATAATACCAACAAACTGACCTACCCTTTTACCAATATTTTTGACTCCGTTCCAATTCCTCTTCCTACGGTTTTTATTCCATTCCATATACCTCTTCCAACATTTCGAAAGAAGTTTCCTATTCTTCCAAAGAAACCCATTTTACTATATGTAAAAATCTAATGTCCGCCTAGTCTCTTACGTTTCCTGTTGAGTTCCATAGCATTCTTTAACTGGAGCTCATACATTCTGTTTCTCCTCTGGTAGAAAACATATTCTGGGTCAACTCCTGTGTTCGCGTCATCTGCATAAAGTTGTTTATATCCCACTTCAGGGTTTGTATAAAACTCTTTCCATCTCATATTTGCATACCATGGTGGCAAACCTAACGCAGCGTCATTTGACATGGCAGTTTGCATTTGTACATCTGTTGGCACTTGACCATAGTTTGCCATTGCAGTTTGTATTCTAACTTCATTTGGAATATTCTCTGGGTTTGGTTGTCCAGGTTGCTGTGCATTCGCTAAGTTCTGTGCGTCCATTTAATATTAGATAAAAATATCTCTTACGAGTACATATACTGAACATTTGCAGGCATTGGTTCATCTTCATATTCTCTGTACTTTTCTGCCACGTCAAAGAAATAAATGACACAATGGAAAAAACCTAAAACAAGTAGTCCTATTTCAAACCACATTTACTTACTAATAAAATTTCTTTATTGTGACACTTTCTCCAGTTTATAGGACCTCTCTCATATTCTATCTTGTCATATCTAAACTCATAGTCATGTATGTCCTCTAACCATCTCATAACGGTTTCCAAACCACTTTTATCGGATGTAAAGTAAAAGCATGGATGGTTATGTAAAACGTCTAAAGTTTCTAAAGAGTCTCTCAAAGTCCAGTCTACTTGGTATTGAAAATCCCATGTGTTATAGAACGGCGGGTCCACTATAAAGAAAACATTTTCCTTGTCTTTCTATATTTTTCATACAACTCTGTCCAATGACATCTCACAAACTCTATACCCTCAATATATTTTTCTATGTCCTCTTTGAAAACATTTGTATAGTTAAGATATAAAACTTTTGACATAAGTGTTTCAATGTCATGAACTCTTATAGAACCACTATAATAATAGTCTAGCAGATATACTATCCCAGTCTATATATTCTGCTTTTTTCAAAACCTCTCTCACAATATTTTTCTTATCTAATGGTATACGTTCCATCTTACCTATAGGTATCTTTTCTTTTAACTCTTTCAATATATTGTTTGTGTCTGGTATATGTTTGAGACGGTCCATATAGTTGTCGAAGTCATTGCATATAATCTTTGAGTCTGGGAATATTGTATGGCACAAATGGGATATATAGAAACTTCCACCGAACAAATCTACAAATGTTAGACCATTCGGTAGTTTCTTAAGTTCTCTCAATATAATATCTTTACATCTACTCTTATTTCCAAAGAACGGTAACGGTGGTTTTGTAAAATTCATTTATATATAATAATAAAAATGTTTTTCCTGAAAAGTGACAGAAAAGTGACAAAGCATGAAAACATATATAATTTGTGAAAAGCGACACATTATATAATGTTTTCGACCCAGAAGAAGGCTTCTTCCCAGAAGCAATGGAGGAAGAAGAAGAGTCCTCCGAATTCACACCAGAAGACTAACAATTTTCCGAATAAAAACTTCATTTATACTAAACATCTTCGGGGCTAGAAGGGGCGCAGCCCCTGGAAGCCCCACTACCTTTTTTTTTTTTTTTTTTAAAGAAAAAATAAACCACGTTAAAATTTTTCTTTCTTAATTTTTTACAAAATCTACTTAGAATTATGCAAAATATGACTAAATAATTATAAATGTCAAGTTAAATTTTAATTTTGATAAATAATTTAAATTTCAAAATATCAAGTTCAGTTCGACTATGTATGTAGTAATTCCTCAATAAAGTGCCAAAACCCTATTAAAATATATGAACATTTTCAACATTTTAATGTTTTTATTTAAAAATTTGTTGGAATATGAGCTTCAAACAATTATTATGTAAATAAAAATAATTAAATATATGTATTTATTCGTATTACAACCGTAGTAAGTCGATTCTTCCTTTCTTCTACTGAGATTTGAATTTGATTTCGAATTGTAAAGAGATTCAAAGGGAAAATACTAGCGGATAAAAACTACCTCCATGAAAGGGTCATAATGGAGTCAAGTTGTATTTTTTGATATTTTTTGCTTTTCGAGCCTAAATAGGTAGCCAAGATAATGCCTAAAAATAAGGTTCTAAATTCTGAAGTTTACATGATCCTCTCGTGTGCACCCTTAAACTGCGAGACAAAAGGCGTAAGTATTCAATTTTGAATAGTTTACATCATATTAGAAATATATTTGAAAACTCTAATTATTTCTTTCCGAATTTCAGCTTATATGGTGACTTATATCCATCAGTATGCTGAATTTGTTGTGTTTCACCAGATATGTCTGGTGTTTCCATGAATTCGAGGCCACTTTCAAGGTGTTCTTCGATATCTACGTCTGAAGGCTGAATACTATCATGAGCTCTTGGTCTTTGTGGTTGAGGTTTCGGTTGTGGCTCTGGAGGAGGAACGAAATTGTTTGAATTTTGAATATTTTGTTGTTGGCTTTCAAGTTCTTTTTGTTGTTGTTTATTGGACTCAATAAGAATTATTTTTGACTTGTAGACCTCTGAATCCATTAATATAACTTCTAAAGTTTTATTTTTTAGATTTAATTTTTCTTCTAATTCCAGCGTAGTTTGAATAACATCTTCTTCTGTTGGACTGCATTTTTTAAATGTAATCAATGATGAATGATCTGCGACTGGTTGAATGTCAGGAATCTTTTTAAGAATAGGTTTGAAATTATTGAGATAAAACTTAGTATCATCAAGCATTGTCATAGCGCGAAGATAGCTTAATGAGGCAATTAACTCATCTGACTTAGTTTTGGAATCAATGGAAGATATATCGTTTTTAACAACTTCAAGTTCGTTTTGAATCCTAGTATGTGTTTTAAGTTTCATTGTGTGCACCGTATAATTCTCTAAATCGCTAACTCGGCATGCTGGTTTTGATTTTGATAAATTATTTTTGATATTTGTTTCGATTTGATCGATCAAGCCCACATCAGAATCAAGACTTTTCTTGTTACCCGCTTCCCATGCTCTTATGATGTTCAAATATTCACTCATTATGGGAGACTCTAATGAATTATGAAGCATTTCAAAAAAATAATTTTATCAAAATAAAAGTATTAAGGGTATAGTAAACTCAAAATTCTAGAGTTTTGAGAGTGCCAATAAACTCTATAGGCCTATATATATCTATATTTTAAAGGAGAGGTTACGCCATAATATTTGATATTATAAATTATTAATTCAAAATAAAAGTAGAAAATGAAACTAATTTTATTCTAACCTATATAAATATATCAATAATCTAAAATGATTATAGTCTGAACTATATTTTACCAGATTATCAAATATAAGAGAAATGAAATAAGGCATAAAAATATCATAGCATAATTATTGGATAAATGCATTAATAAATTATTTATATCATAATGAGAAAAAATCAAAATAAGAAAATGAGCATAATAATAATTTAATTAAAAACAAAAACAATAAATAAAATGTAATTTTCGTTAATCAAAGTCATCAATGTCTTCGTCTTCTGATTCCCATTCGGACTTGAAAACTTGATAATCTCCTCCTGGTACACTCTGAATGAATTTTTTGTATTTGTTCTGTTTTTTAGAACCTTTTGTAACAGTTTTTTGTTTCAATATCACTTTGGAGTAACAATTCTCTTCAAATGATTTGACACAATCTTCTGGAAGTGGGGAAAGATGTAATGCTTTTTGTATATCTCCGAGAAAATGCTCTGGATCATTCCATTCTAAGATTGCAACGTTAACTCTAATGTTAATGTTCTTCCAGGCTCTTGATTTGTCCAAATAGCATGCAATTTTGGAGTTAAACGCTTCATTCATGCAGGTAGATCCAATGGAAGAAACTTTGGAAACTATGGGTGTCCATTTGTGAACCCAGTCATAGAGCATGAATTGAAGTTGGATCGAATTGACACCTTTTTGCCATTCAAAGCATTTGTAATTGTGCGGTTCGCAAAAAGAATGATTGCCTACGTAATGGTAGACACAATTCTCCCACATTTTCGTACGTTTGTCAATATTTTCTTCGGCAAAACATGACCAAAGCCACATACTTAGGCTTGCATTCAGACCCCAGAAAGGTCTCTCTATTTTTTCAATCTTCTGAGTCTTGTCGTTGAAAACTTCAACTGTCTTATGAGAAGCTGAGAACTTTGTAAAATCTTTTGAGATATTTTTTGATACATGACCTGGATCGAATCTTTCAAGATGAGAGACGCCAAATTCTTTAAAGACAGAGACACTTTTGTTATCTCGGTCTTTAATAATCTCTTTAACATCTTTCAAGATATTGTATTTCTTTAATTGCTTCAAGATGATTCGAGTTCCAGCACTTTCCATATTGTTGGAAGCTCCGGAATACTGAGCATGCTGTCTGTTTCCACCAATATGGTTGATGTTCACGCATGCAAGAACTCTTTTTGTGACAGCATCGAGCGCAGTTACTGTACAACTTGGCGAGTTTCGCATGTGCGTCCATCTTGCATCAATGGATAAGTAACCACTGAAGGACTTTCTCGACAGCATTAGGGAAATACTTTTAAGTCTTCTAATCTTATCGTCACAAAATCTCTGTTGTCTCATGACACCACTCTTCACAGGGGGCTTAGTTCCACAAAGAGAAAGAAAGCGAGCACCTTTTGTATATGGCATTCCGGTCATTATGCAAGCACCAAGCATCTGTCGCGCTGAGAGTCGACGACGTTCGTGGAGTAAAATGTTATGCATTGCCTTTGTTTTCCGTTTTGGGTGAACAATATGGCCCATACAACAACAAAAAAATGAAATCCCGCCAAAAGTGAAAATTGAATAAAAAGTAATAATTAATAAATATATACTATATCATTAGATGAATATTTTGGAATAACATTTTAAAATCGAGGTTTTTCAATGGATAACGGTTCAATCAAAAATTAAGGGTATAGTCCACTAAAAATTTTTAAGTTTTGACAATGAAAATAAGCTCTGTGACCATGTAAATATATATCTATGCAAAACGAGAGGTTATGCCATAATTTTTTTAGTTATCAAATTTTCCTTTTTTTGAGAGAAGTCTCTCAATAATTTGAGAAGAATCTTTGATATAAAGAGATACACATTTGTAGAACGAAGTAAGTGTTTTCCAAACATTTTATATGTTCATCCTGTATAACAATATAAAGCTGCATAGTGCCATCTTGTGCGTTTGCTATTTTATGTACTTTTCATTGAGATAATCCCTCTTCTCGGGTGATTTTAACAGTCAACTCAATTTTAAAATAAAGATTTCATCAAAATGATTTCGAAATTCGGATATTGATTATATAAATAGCACTGTTAACATATTTTGGATGAGTAAAAAATACCTTGTTTTGTATGCATTTAGTACACCTTTATTTTTGATTAAAACTATAAAATTTTTATTCCTTATATAATAAATAGTATATGTTACATAAACATGAAATTCAATAGCATTCAATTTTGGATTTTTTAGATTTGGTAAATTTTAGAAGAAATAAAATCAGCAATCAAAATAAAGAAACTTTTTTTGTATCTTCTATGATTACCTTTTGGTACTAAATTTTGCATTAATAAGTAAATTATCTGTATTATTCTGTGAGCACAAGCCCTCAGTTATGCTGGTAGTGAATGATGAATCGTCATTTTGCGAAGAGAACGCGATTATTAAGGTAATTTTGAGAATTGTCTTGAATTATTTAAAATTAAAGTTAATTGAATAGGTAGGATAACTAGCCTTTGCTAAATTTGTATAATTTGACCTTATTCTAGTTGGATCTGAGAATATTTTGCTGAAATAATAAATTATATCGCCGATTTATGAAAATTTCTCTGATGGGACCGACTCGCTGAAACGTATTAGTGTTAATGGTAACTTGTCTGAATTTTCAAATTTTTTTCGAAATCCAAAAAATCACAAACAAAAGCATCAAAATTAGATTTGCATTTAAGGTTTTCATTTTTTTTGGAAAATAAAAATATTTTTCCCCAATAAAGTTTATTTTTACTTTTGAGAGGAATAGAAACGTTATTTTGGAATTTTGAAACGACAGAAATGTTCCATTTTTAATGTAGATTCTAAAATGGGGTCAAATTTTTGATTGAACCGTTATCCATTGAAAAACCTCGATTTTAAAATGTTATTCCAAAATATTCATCTAATGATATAGTATATATTTATTAATTATTACTTTTTATTCAATTTTCACTTTTGGCGGGATTTCATTTTTTTGTTGTTGTATGGGCCATATTGTTCACCCAAAACGGAAAACAAAGGCAATGCATAACATTTTACTCCACGAACGTCGTCGACTCTCAGCGCGACAGATGCTTGGTGCTTGCATAATGACCGGAATGCCATATACAAAAGGTGCTCGCTTTCTTTCTCTTTGTGGAACTAAGCCCCCTGTGAAGAGTGGTGTCATGAGACAACAGAGATTTTGTGACGATAAGATTAGAAGACTTAAAAGTATTTCCCTAATGCTGTCGAGAAAGTCCTTCAGTGGTTACTTATCCATTGATGCAAGATGGACGCACAGGCGAAACTCGCCAAGTTGTACAGTAACTGCGCTCGATGCTGTCACAAAAAGAGTTCTTGCATGCGTGAACATCAACCATATTGGTGGAAACAGACAGCATGCTCAGTATTCCGGAGCTTCCAACAATATGGAAAGTGCTGGAACTCGAATCATCTTGAAGCAATTAAAGAAATACAATATCTTGAAAGATGTTAAAGAGATTATTAAAGACCGAGATAACAAAAGTGTCTCTGTCTTTAAAGAATTTGGCGTCTCTCATCTTGAAAGATTCGATCCAGGTCATGTATCAAAAAATATCTCAAAAGATTTTACAAAGTTCTCAGCTTCTCATAAGACAGTTGAAGTTTTCAACGACAAGACTCAGAAGATTGAAAAAATAGAGAGACCTTTCTGGGGTCTGAATGCAAGCCTAAGTATGTGGCTTTGGTCATGTTTTGCCGAAGAAAATATTGACAAACGTACGAAAATGTGGGAGAATTGTGTCTACCATTACGTAGGCAATCATTCTTTTTGCGAACCGCACAATTACAAATGCTTTGAATGGCAAAAAGGTGTCAATTCGATCCAACTTCAATTCATGCTCTATGACTGGGTTCACAAATGGACACCCATAGTTTCCAAAGTTTCTTCCATTGGATCTACCTGCATGAATGAAGCGTTTAACTCCAAAATTGCATGCTATTTGGACAAATCAAGAGCCTGGAAGAACATTAACATTAGAGTTAACGTTGCAATCTTAGAATGGAATGATCCAGAGCATTTTCTCGGAGATATACAAAAAGCATTACATCTTCCCCACTTCCAGAAGATTGTGTCAAATCATTTGAAGAGAATTGTTACTCCAAAGTGATATTGAAACAAAAAACTGTTACAAAAGGTTCTAAAAAACAGAACAAATACAAAAAATTCATTCAGAGTGTACCAGGAGGAGATTATCAAGTTTTCAAGTCCGAATGGGAATCAGAAGACGAAGACATTGATGACTTTGATTAACGAAAATTACATTTTATTTATTGTTTTTGTTTTTAATTAAATTATTATTATGCTCATTTTCTTATTTTGATTTTTTCTCATTATGATATAAATAATTTATTAATGCATTTATCCAATAATTATGCTATGATATTTTTATGCCTTATTTCATTTCTCTTATATTTGATAATCTGGTAAAATATAGTTCAGACTATAATCATTTTAGATTATTGATATATTTATATAGGTTAGAATAAAATTAGTTTCATTTTCTACTTTTATTTTGAATTAATAATTTATAATATCAAATATTATGGCGTAACCTCTCCTTTAAAATATAGATATATATAGGCCTATAGAGTTTATTGGCACTCTCAAAACTCTAGAATTTTGAGTTTACTATACCCTTAAAAAATCGAACATTTCTGTCGTTTCAAAATTCCAAAATAACGTTTCTATTCCTCTCAAAAGTAAAAATAAACTTTATTGGGGAAAAATATTTTTATTTTCCAAAAAAAATGAAAACCTTAAATGCAAATCTAATTTTGATGCTTTTGTTTGTGATTTTTTGTGTAATGCATGAAAATTCGGTTCACTTCATTTTTGACACTTTACATATCGGATGTATTATCTAAGAATTATATTATAAAATAATAATTTTGTGTTTTATAAGTTTATTTGTATAAATTGATTCAAAAAAAATGGAAAGACAAGAAGTGGATCTGCCAAATGAAAATCAGATTTATAGTTTTAGAGAGTTACATACATGAAATATGAAAATTGAACTTTGTATAAGGAATTGTTGGCTATGATGTACTGATCATGAATCAGTACATCATAGCCAACAATTCCTTCGCAAACAGCGGGAAACTTTGTCTGAATAGTTTAACATTCAGACAAAGTTTCCCGCTGTCAGAGAGGGAATGGAAGGGTAAGAGGTATATATTCATAATGTATACCTCTTACCCTTTCATTCCCTCGAGAAAGTTCAAAAACTTGGGTGCAATCAGAACTGATTGCACCCAAGTTTTTGAACTTTGTATAAGGAATTGTTGGCTATGATGTACTGATCATGAATCAGTACATCATAGCCAACAATTCCTTCCCAAACAACCCGAAATTTGTCTGATTCCACACTAATTTTATTAATTTATCTAAACTTTTATCCTCGTCTACAATTTAATCATCAATAATTATCTCTTGTTCTATTTCACTATTATATATATATATATTTATATGATTTGATTTAAAAAAAATAAATAAATAAATTAATAAATCATTTACTCAAATATATCAAAAGTTTTATTTTTATATATAAAGATAACTACTTTTTAAAAAAAATACCCTATATATTTTTGCCATGTAAACTTGTCACTTTTTGTCAGAAGTGACGTGAACCGAATTTTCATGCACAACAGTTTGTGATTTTTTGGATTTCGAAAAAAATTTGAAAATTCAGACAAGTTACCATTAACACTAATACGTTTCAGCGAGTCGGTCCCATCAGAGAAATTTTCATAAATCGGCGATATAATTTATTATTTCAGCAAAATATTCTCAGATCCAACTAGAATAAGGTCAAATTATACAAATTTAGCAAAGGCTAGTTATCCTACCTATTCAATTAACTTTAATTTTAAATAATTCAAGACAATTCTCAAAATTACCTTAATAATCGCGTTCTCTTCGCAAAATGACGATTCATCATTCACTACCAGCATAACTGAGGGCTTGTGCTCACAGAATAATACAGATAATTTACTTATTAATGCAAAATTTAGTACCAAAAGGTAATCATAGAAGATACAAAAAAAGTTTCTTTATTTTGATTGCTGATTTTATTTCTTCTAAAATTTACCAAATCTAAAAAATCCAAAATTGAATGCTATTGAATTTCATGTTTATGTAACATATACTATTTATTATATAAGGAATAAAAATTTTATAGTTTTAATCAAAAATAAAGGTGTACTAAATGCATACAAAACAAGGTATTTTTTACTCATCCAAAATATGTTAACAGTGCTATTTATATAATCAATATCCGAATTTCGAAATCATTTTGATGAAATCTTTATTTTAAAATTGAGTTGACTGTTAAAATCACCCGAGAAGAGGATTATCTCAATGAAAAGTACATAAAATAGCAAACGCACAAGATGGCACTATGCAGCTTTATATTGTTATACAGGATGAACATATAAAATGTTTGGAAAACACTTACTTCGTTCTACAAATGTGTATCTCTTTATATCAAAGATTCTTCTCAAATTATTGAGAGACTTCTCTCAAAAAAAGGAAAATTTGATAACTAAAAAAATTATGGCATAACCTCTCGTTTTGCATAGATATATATTTACATGGTCACAGAGCTTATTTTCATTGTCAAAACTTAAAAATTTTTAGTGGACTATACCCTTAATAATATCGATTTAATTTAATATTTTACAATTCATAAAAGCATAAAAGATCGTAAAAAGTGGCATATTCACCGGAAATTTTAAAAATTAGTAGCATGAATTATATTTCATTGAATGTGATATAGTGGCAGCTGCAATAAGTAAAAATCTGGGCCAAGAGTCGTAAATGTTTCCAAAAAGTTTCCTTGATCAACCCAAAAGATCATAATAATAACACTTTGTATCATGTGCATTGATCTAATTGTTCGTTTTGTTACAACTTCCTTTATTATTTTATTGTTCCAACTCTAAAGGCATATGAAATATTAAATATAATTATATAAATTTTAATTTTTTGTCAAATTTATGCGCATATTTGTGAACTATGATAATAACCATATACAATTACCGATATTAAAATGCTAATTCTTATGTTTTTAAACCTAAAAATTTATATGATCAAATAAATTCAACAAAAAATCCGTAACAGTTAACATGTTTTTTCAATTTCTCGATTATTTTTGGATATTTCGAGATATAGAATACACTAGTATTCAAGAAAATATGATTTTCTATCTATTAAATTCTTAGAATAATATAAATCGAAGAAATAATTTTTTTATCTATTAATAATAGATATGATTTTCCATTAATATATAACTCATTATATCTATTAATAAACAATGAAACTTAATAAATGTCATATATCTAGTACACAATAACACACATTTATGCAATTAATGATATTCTACCCTTTACAAAAGTCAGCACATGTACAAAAACGACATACTAAATACATCATCAATGATTACAGAAGAATCCATCTGAATTACCAATTTCAGTAATAAAATTTAGTTCGAGAATTTGATTACAATCATATTTGCACAGAAAGTTGTGATGTTACGTAATTTTGTATTTATTTCCATGATAATCAAATACAAAGATAAATATGAAATGAAATGACGATAGAAATTTCGTAACAAAAAATGCTTTCGATATTTCTAACATTATCTTTGTCAGAGTTTGTAGAAGTGACTCTTGCTGGCTTAGCTACCACATTTGAACATCCACAAGCAGTTGTATTGTTTTATGGCGAAGATAAAATTGATAGCATTTTATCAACACTAAACTCAGCGTCACAGCCATACAAATATTTCTCATTTGTAAAGGTTAACTTATCAGGAGTTAAAGAAACACCACCATTTCCAATCAAAACTCTTCCATCTGTAGTTTTCGTATACAAAGGAAAATATGTCGGCACCCTTAATGATAAAATCGAAACAGAAACTGTTCGTTCATGCTTATCTCGTCTTGAAACATCCATTCTTTCACGTCCATACCAGCTTACTAACCCTCTTGAAGCGATTCAAGCTACAAAGAACTCAACATCATCCGTAATCATCTTCTCCAAGGAAGATTCCTTCATCCGACGTTTCAGAATGATTCCTGAATACGATGTTACCATTCCTATCTATGTTGTTTCTAACGCAGAAACAGCTGCATCAGTAGGACTCGAAAAACTGAACAGTATCCTCATTACAAGAGCTATTGATGGAAAGTCTAAAATTTTCTCACAGAAAGAGCTCTACGATGAAAGCTCAAACACAATCGTTCAAAATTTCGTTAGACCATTTATCATTGTATGCCATTACGACGAACAAATTGGCAATGGACTTGATGGTTTCACCATTGCGGCCCTAGTTGAAGAAGGAAATCCACTACAAAGGAACGAAGTTTCGGATAATTTCAAACAACTCTACGGAACGTTCAAAAGAACCATTAACTACCATATCGGCTACTACGGTGATTTAGATGCTCCAATCAAGCAATATAACATCGACAACTACTCAATTCCTACTTATATTCTTTATTATAAATATAAAGGAGAGAAAACACCAATTCTTTACTCCTGCTACGAAAGAAGCCCAGGAATGATCAGAAAATGGATGAAATATACAATGAGCAGGCTTCCAGAAGATATTGAAAAATATAAATACAGAAATCAAATAGATTGGATCGGAGGAGCCGGTTACGCAGACCTTATTATAGGTAAGGCTGCTGATAACTTCATTCTTTTGTCCGATTGGTCGTTTGATAATTACGAAAATGTATTTGACATATATATGAAGCTTCTCGAGATCTTTATTGAACATAAAGATCTTAAGTTCCACTTCTACGATCCATTGGTCCGTCCAAGAGCTCATATGCCGGCAATCGAACCCGAAATCTCTACTTCTACGCTCAGATTCTATAAATCAGGTAGAGAATCTAAACCTGTAGACATTAAACTCAATAAGGACTTCGAAACAATCCTCAGACAAGTGCTAAGACTCTTAGATAAGTCTATTAGCAGTAAGGAGGTACGTAAGAATATCGAGAAGTACATCGATCCAATGAAGAACCGCGCGATGTAAGAAACAAACATACAAATATTATATATTTCTTTTAAAAGATAAAATTTTTATGATCAATTTTTTTTTTGAAAATGATAATCTCACTCATATAAATTTAATAATATTACTTTCTAATTAATACATTTTAATCGTAAAGAAGTAGATGAACCTCTTATCTAATGCGGCAAAAGAATCTTTAAAAAAATCTGGTCACATCAAAGATTCGTTGTTTTCCCCAATAGAAACTGCCGCCTATGAAAGACTAAAGAAAGCTGCTATTTCTCCTGAAGAAATGACGGCTTTTAAGAGTGAACACTTTAGTCACATTCTTATATGTCTCAAAAGAATATGAACTAATTATATATATATATCACATTAGAAATAAAAAAATTGAGAGATGGTATGTAAAATGTTTATTATTTATTTCTAATGAAATCCATATTCGAAAATATCAGAAAAAGATGCATATTATGTATGAACACTATTTGTTGCACCATGTGAAATAAGAAGTTCGGCTACTTCTGTATAATTATGGTCTACTGCAAGATGAAGAGGGGTTTTCCTATCATTATCTTTTTCATTGATATTTGCACCATGTGAAATAAGAAGTTCGGCTACTTCTTTACAATTATTTTCTGCTGCAAGATGAAGAGCGGTTTTTCCATCTTTATTTTTTTCATTGATATTTGCACCATGTGAAATAAGAAGTTCGACAATATCTTTATTATTTTGAATTGCTGAATAATGAAGAGCTGTTCTTCCAAAATAATCTATTTCATTGATATTTGCACCATGCGAAATAAGAAGCTTGGCTATTTCTTTACTATCATGAAATGCGGTATTAATAAGATCGGTTATTCCATCTTCACATCTTTCATTGGTATTCATACTTTTTAAAAAAAGAAGTTCAGATGTCTTTTGACTAATTCCTGTTGCAATATGAAGAGCGGTTTGCCCATGAATATTTATTTTATTAAGATTTGCACCGTGCGAAATAAGAAGTTCGGCTGTTTCTTTACTATTATTTTCTGCTGCCAAATGAAGAGCTGTCCTCATGTTATTATCTTTTTCATTGATATTTGCTCCATGTGAAATAAGAAGTTCTGTTATTTCTTTACTGTTATTCCATGCTGCATTATGAAGAGCGGTGTTGTCATAATCATCTTTTTCATTGACATTTGCACCATGTAAAATAAGAAGTTCTGCTATTTCTTTACTATTATATTCTGCTGCATCATGAAGTGGGGTTTGCCCATTAAATTTGTTCTTATTGATATTTGCACCATGTGTAATAAGAAGTTCGACTATTTCTTTACTATAATTCCACACTGCAACATAAAGAACTGTGTTTCCGAGACCATCTACCTTATTGATATTTGCGCCATGTAAAATAAGATTTTTGGCTGTTTCCACATTATTATAAGATGCTGCCTTATTAATAGCTTCAATTGTATCATTTTCATTGATATTTGCAAAATGTGAAAGGAGGTATTCACAAAATGATGGGATATCAAGCATCGCTGAATATTTAAAGACTTCCCTAATCCGAATATTTTGATCAACATAAATTAAAATTGATTCAAGATTATTATATTTTCCACAATATTCTAAATCAATCTCCAAATTGTATTCATTCATCAAGAATGTAACAAAATCAATGTTGTGTGAAATAATTGCATATCTCATGCACCATAGATTTGGTTTTTGATATTTCAAACATTCACTCATGATCTCTTTGCTTCTTCCTAAAAATGACAATTCAAGACATCCTTCAGTAATTTCTGAGTTAAATTTCGTTCTTAAGAACTTGAAACAATCAACAGATCCGTAGTAGCAACATAATTCAAGTAATGAACATCCAGATAAAGCTGGATATAATCTGCTGCAAAGTTCTTGATCTTTATCAAATCCTTCTCTTTCTGTGAACGAAATGAATTTTTCTAAGTCATTATTCTTAATTGCTCTGTAAATTGTATCTTCTGTCAGAAAATCGAGTTTTTCTGTGATGATTTTTTCAAATCTAATATACTTTTTAAATCTTATGCCATATTCTTTATAAAACAGGTAATCTGAAACATCTTCAACATTGTTGGTCTCTTTTACATGATAATCATCAGATATCTGTTTGGCAAGAGATAAATATGCCTTTGCATAGCGATTATTAAGTGGAATAATATTTAAAATGTCTCTTACGATATTTGAAGGCAGATATTTCTTTGAATCAAGCAATTCTGTTTTGATCATGTTGTAAATCTTGTTTAAGTCTTCGTCATTTTCTGCTTTTAGATGATACAATGCATTAAATGAATCTATGTAGTATTTATACTTACTTCGTAATTCACTATATTTATCAGGACGAATGTCTTGATCAGACATGAAAAAAATTTACAAGTCCGAAATCGGTATTTTACCTTATCAAACATCTTTTTAATCAACTATGAGAAATAGTTGCATGTTAAATATTTGAATAACTGAAGGTGTCACTACGTCACCATGTGTCACCGGGTTAATTAACTTCTCTTAAAATTACTGACAACATGACATTTAGACAACAGGTACGAAAGGAGGAAGGCATTTATGAATTATTTTTGAATAACTGAAGGTGTCACTACGTCACCATGTGTCACCTGGTTAATTAACTTCTCTTAAAATTACTGACAACATGACATTTAGACAACAGTCCAGGAAATAAATTTTATCGTTAATGGTTTCAGTGTCACCACGTCACCACGTCACCAGGTTAATTAACTTCTCTTAAAAATGATGACAACATGACATTTAGACAACATTCCCGGAAATTTGATGCAGCCCAAAAATAAAGTTAGTTTTAAAATTATTTTTATTTTTTTATTCCTATATAAATGACAGCAACAAACAACAACAGCAACTATATCGTTTCTGATGAAAAAGTTATTGATTCATTAGCTGAGGAATTAGTTGTGGCAGAAACTAAAACCCTCAACGAAAGAATTGGTGAAAACAAGATTGATTTACATAACTACCTCAAACATGATGGAGGAAGAGGAAGGAAAACTGGTATGGCTTTATTAGTAAATAAAATTCAAAATTTAACTATTATAGATGTTGATATCAATAAATCGTACAATGATGAACTTAAAGAAACAGTTAGAAAAGACATTCTATCAAAACTTTCGGATAAAGATGTTATCGTTAAAACCGCTTCAGGAGGTCTTCACATTTATTGCAACACTAATTTCTTTTATGCAGTTTCGAACAGAATGATTAAATGCTATTCTTGCAATGATTATGATATTGATATCATGACTTCTATGGATGATTCAAAGCGTTCTTTAGTAGTTATGGCTGATTCAAGAGTTCGCAAGAATGCAACAGAACCAATCAATACATACTCATTCATTCGTGGAAGTTACGATTCAACATTAACTAGAACAGTGAATGATATATTAAATGATTTGAATATTAAGGTAAGAGTTGAACAAAAGAACGAAGAAATAAAGACTATCATGAATGAAAACAAAGATGTAAACATTGACGATAAACTAGCTCAAAGCATAGTCGATGGCATCAGTGATTTTGAAGTACATAATGACGGTGGAAACATGAATTTAGAAAAAGAAGTTACATTATTCACACTGTTTCAAGCAATTAATTCGTTACCTAATCATTTAATTAATGAAGCATACGATAACGTTTATAACTTCTGCAATTTAACTGAAAATGCAAAAAGTAATTTTGAAAAAGCACGTAGTAGATATGCACATTTAATGACTTCTCCATTTGTTGTGGTGAAGATTCTAAAACTATATCAAAAGGAATATTATGATGAATACGTTTTACCTTTATTACATAAGCCAAAAATAACATTTGATATAAAACTTGATGACTCGTTTTTGATAACAGATATTAGACGCAAGGCTGAAAATCATCAGTATAAAAACAGTTCTGAAGTAATTGAGGATTTATCACGTGTAATCCGTTTTGTAGATTGTGGAAATAAATATTTCATTCAGAAAGATTACAACATCCACGACAAAATGAATCAAATATCATTCGTTCTTCAATCAAACATGAAAGAGTCACTCAAAATGATTAAATTATTTAAAGAAGAAGGTAAAACAATAACAGCATGGGATGTACTACTAAATCAATTATCCTCATTAACTGTTAAGGGTGTTTGCTTTAAATCTGATTCTCCAGATGTTTTCTCAACGTTTCAAGGTTATAAATACAACGTTCTCGAAAAGCCAGATTACTCAAAAATTGAGATGTTTATGGATTTCATTAAAGAAGCCATTTGTGATAATAACGATGAAGTGTATAAATACCTTCTCGGTTGGATTGCATCAATGATTCAACATCCTGGAATCAAGAATGAAACAGCAATTATTTTGAAAGGACTTCAGGGAACAGGTAAAAACAGATTTACAGACATTATTTCTGAACTTCTCGCCGGTTATTCATGCAAAAACATTACCGAAATAGGTGAGCTAACGGGTAATTTCAATTCAGTTGTTGAAAATAAAATGTTTCTTGTACTTAATGAACTCAAGAATGTAGGTGAAGACAGACTCGCAAACTTCAACGCTTTGAAATCAATTATTACGGATAATCAAATAAGAATTAATGAAAAGAATCAACCTAGAAGAACTGCTCAGAATGTTGCCAATTTCATTTTGGTAACTAATAACGTCTACCCTGTCAAAATTGAAGTTGGAGACAGAAGATACGTAGTTTTAAGAGTTAATGGTAAATTCAAGGGGCAATTTGATTATTTCAAGAATTTGATGAATTCATGCACAAAGGAATTTTATGATAATTTACTGACGTATTTTATGCAATATGACCTTTCATCATTTAATGTACGAATTATACCGATGACTGAAGCCAAACAAGATTTAATTGAATTATCAACAAATCCTTTAGATGTATGGATAAATACACATTATGATGAATTGTGTGCAGGTATGACATGTAAAAATGCTCTATTCTGCAAACCATCAGACATGAAAGACAAGAATTTCCAAATGAGCATTAAGGATAAATGTGATAGGAAACAGAGAAGAATAGATGGTAAACAAACATGGTGTTATGTTTTGAAAGAAGAAATGAAAGGATTATATAAACAGGTTGAACCAAACGATAATGAGGATTCATTTACTGACGATGAAATACCTGTAAATGAGCCGCTAAGCGGCGAGACCTGAAGGTCTTGCAGTATAAAGTATGATTGGAATTTATTTTTGCATTAATCCTGCTGTGATGTCTAAATGTCATGTTGTCATCATTTTTAAAAGAAGTTAATTAACCAGGTGACACATGGTGACGTAGTGACACCTTCAGTTATTCAAAAATAATTCATAAATGCCTTCCTCCTTTCGTACCTGTTGTCTAAATGTCATGTTGTCATCATTTTTAAGAGAAGTTAATTAACCAGGTGACACATGGTGACGTGGTGACACTTTCAGTTATTCAAAAATAAATTTTCTTATAATTCAAATTAACTAAAGATGAACTTAATAAAATGATGATAAAATAACTGATAACAAAATTTTATTTTTATATAAATGGATACCCCACAAGCTCAAAATTTACCACGAATCATAACAAGGGAGGAAATGATAAAAATGATGCAAGAACGAATTAAAAACAACAAACCACGAAAACCGAGAAGATGCGGTTATGCAGTAATGATGGAAAGAAGAACCCAGAAGGGTTCGGCGTCTCGAAGAGACGTTGTCGAAGAGGAATAAAAATTAAATTTGGATTGAGTTTAAAAATTCATCTTTATTAAATTCATCTCTTCCAATCAATTTATTTATTCTATTAAATTCTTTTATTTTTGCTTCACTCAGTTTAAGGATTGAACGGTAAGTTTCTAATTTTTCGATTATTTCTTTCCTCTCTTTATCGTTTTCAATTACTTTAGTTTTATGGGCATCAGCCCCGCCGCATTGCGGCTTCTTTTTGTAATAGCATATTTTTGATTTAATTCTGTTTAGTTTCTTTTTATATTCATTGTCTGGACTCTGAATCTTAATTGAATCAGGACTCTTGGATGCTTCGTTGTCACTCATTTCTTACGAAATAAAAAAATTAAATATTATTTAAATATAATGGAGTAATAAAATAAATCGGAATTTCTATTAATTTATTGTTAACTCAACTAATGCATTGCCGTTAATATATCTAACAAATTCAGCTATTGTGTCAAATCTTCGTCTTCTTTTTGTCATTGATTTATCAGTTTTTCCATAATCGAGATGAATCAAAACTTTATCCCCTTGTTTAAAATTCATGAGCCCCGAATTAATTTGTTCACGTTTAACATCATTTAACCTTTCCATTTGCTTTCTAATATATTCCCATTCTTTTGAAATATCATTTTTCATTTCCACTGGTTTCATGTTTATAGTTCTATGCCATGTATTATTGTAATAATATACTAACTGCTGTATGATGGAGTCATGATTTCCATCCCAGTATATCTGACCGTTAACCCCTAACGCATCTCTAAGAGTTCTCATTACCGCATCAACTATTTTATTATGAAACGTATATGGAGAAGATGAGAAGTAAAAATTAATTTGTGGGAAATAATGAGCCATAGCTGCCTGAAATCCTTTATCACCATCACCCCTTATATTATCTACTCTTTCATGATCTAGTAAGTATTGAATAGCTCTTCTTGTTTCCTGTTCTGTTTTCCCTTTCACTGGAATGCAATATAAATATCTAGTGTTAATGTTAATGGCAAATAAATAAGTAACGTTTCCTTTTGAATATTCCAGATGATCGATTTCGTATGAATATGGATATGGTGCAAATGAAGGGCGACTAAATTTTTCCTTTAACGGTTGAATTTTCGGGTCAATTGGTTTATTTAATATCTTGAAATCCTTTTTAAAATCTTTTTGTTTCTTTAATGTTTGAAATGGATATAATAAAGTGAATGATGAAGGATTAACTGAAGGAGGAGGTACTGTCGTTGGAGGTTTTGGTATTGCAAGTGGTTTAATTTTATCTGCTTTGATTTTGGATGATGAAGTTTTAGTTGTTGATTTTCCTTTCATTAATTCTGGATGTATTCTATTCATTTGTTTTAAATATGCTGTATATAAAGGTTTGATATACTTTCCCGCTTCGAGTTTATGTTGAAGGATGAATTCCAAAAGTTGATCTTCATTTAAAAGTCGGGCTGAATATGGTTTAACTAATGAATCATAAATTAAAGCTTGTGCTTCATTTATGGTCTGAAGGACCTGGGTGTTTTGTTCCTTTAGCTGTTGAACATTTGCTACTTTCTCTTTTGGTGTTGTTTTCGGCTTTTTCTTCTTTTGTTTTGTTCCTTTGGCTTTTGCGGCTCAGGATTATATAATTTATATAATTCATCAATATCTTCTTCTGTTAATACTTTATTTTTGAAATCTTTCAACTGTTTAAGTTGTGATTTAGTTTTTCCCTTTGTATATTCATTATTTTTAATTTTGTCTTTAATTTCAGAAATTATTTTATCATGATATTTCAAAATTTCATTTTTATAATATGGATAATAATAATCCATATCATCACCCGTTATATTTTTATTATGTTTTTGGAGATATGATTTTAATTCATAATAATTAAGAAAATTTTGATTAAGTACTAAATCATCAATTAAATTTTCTAAATCTGCGTTATCCATTTATATAAAAATAAAATAAATGTTTTAAGGGTGCCCACCTCTTTGAATCATAGTATCAAAACCATTATTTACATATTGAATCGCATCATTAACGGTTCCTCCTTCTAAAACGGTATCAAATGGTGGAGTCCAGATTTCCTGATGATGATCATAAAATCCAGCAAAATTAACCGTATTATTAGGTAAAATATGAATCTCAGCGGTATATCTTCTATCTAAATTTGGATGCCTTATATGTATACCATTACTACCCGGATAAAATCTCAAACCTTGATTTTGTTGACGCATCAAATTATTGAAATTTCTTTCTTCAGGGGTGAATGTTCTTCTCCGTTGACGTTGTGGTGGTGGTGGTGGTCGTTGTTGCGGCTGTTGATGCTGTGGTGGGATTTGAAAAATTCGTTGTGGTTGATTATTTGGAATCTGAAAGTTAAAACCATTTGGTATAAATCGATTTGGTTCCTTTTGTCTCTTCTGTGGCATTTTATTAAAAATAAAATTTTAAATTGTATTAAATAAATGGCATACAACATCCATTTTCACAACATACAGCCTTAGTGTGTGCTCCTGTTAATGCAGTCTTACCGATTGTTAAGCGAGTCATTGACCCGTTTTTAAGTTGTAAATTAATATTCTGACCATCAAATATCACTTTATCATTTATTATATCCAAATAATTTTTAGGTGTTAATTGTTTATTTTGTCGTAAACTAACACCTTTCATTTTTTGTGCAATCTTTTTAAAATCACTTCCATCAATTGAACCGTTGAATGATGTATAACACTTAGGGCATAAAGCAACCATGTTATCACCTTGTTTCTCAATTGCTAAACCCAATAATTTTTCATGTGCTTTTTCTTCAGCTTTATTCTTTAATTTAGGTTTAAATTTCTCATCAAAACAGAAGAAATCAAAAGGTGCGAATTTGAAAATGTTTTTATCATAAAATTGTTTATCGGTAACAATTGCTTGAAATGCTTGAGTGTTAGGAAGATTTGGATCGCCAGCAATTGCCCAATAAGATGAATCAGTATCACCTTCAATGAAATGAAAACGATTAACATTCATGCATTTATACATAAAATCATAAATGAAAACCAAATACCAGTATTTAGCATTATCTAAAGTGAAGAATGCCTCTTGTAAACATGTATCACATCTATAAAATCTATCTTTAAGCATCACTTGATATGTATCTTCACCTATTTCTCTTATGTTTTTAAACTTATTTGACATACATGCAACGCGTGCCTTCTGTGCATTCATTATTTTAGTCTTTGCGTAATTTTGTGTATTCATTGCATCGTAACCATATGATCCATTAAGTGAAATCTTGCAAAATAAACTTTTTCCTTTATTTCCTTCTAATTCAGCCTTTTGTCTTTCGTTCATAAATTCGTTCGCAAATTCATTAAAACAAGTGTTTTTCGTAAATGTTAAAATTGATTGAATATCATGATGATAAAATGAAATCTGTCTATTAGATACCAAAGATAATAAGAAGAAAATGGTTGATATTGGTTGTGTGTTGATGCTAACTGAGTTAATTTCCTCTGTTTCTGGTCAACTGGTAGATTGTTTGATTTCATGTAATTATACATAAAACTGCCAATTGTTTTTTCATCTGTGATAATATCTAAGTTTCTTATTATCGGTAAAAAGTTTATGTAATCATTAATGTATTTTTCATCAATGTGACCCTTTACTTCAGCCACGAATAAAGTATTTTTCTTCTTAATTATTCCCAGTGCTTTTGCTTTCTTTGTTGCTGTATCACAAATGATAACACCATTCAATCTTCCCGGCATATACATTTTATGGTCAGTATATTGAATGAAATCATGAGGATTAGATGAAAATGATGAAGGATATAATGAATTAAAATCAACACCAACGAAATGAGTCATGATGTTGGAAGTGTCCTCATTTGATACAGTTTTAGTTTCTGGATTATATGAAGTTTATTAATGTGCGTGATTCCTTTAAGATTTACTCTATGTTGAACATTTGATAAACCACCAGTAATTCCATTACGGAGAATGTGATAAGCTTCAACTGAATCTAAAGTCATTGGTAAATTATTTTTTAATGCATATTTCTTAAATTGATTCTTAAACGTTGAATCTTCATCTTTATTTGATTTCACGACATTGCAATAACAACACATTAACTGACAATTTTCTTTAGTATGTGGTTTTTCATTATCGATTCTATCCAATGTTGGTTTATTTGCATATGTAAACGCTTTACCACACATTTTGCATTTAGATGAAAGGATTAAATCGTGATAGTATTGAAAATCATCCATTGAAACATTATTTTTAGTATCTCTTTCTGCTTTTTCATCTTGTTTCTTATATGATTCAATTTTATATTTCCAATACTTTTTTGTTAATTCAAAACTTGATTCTATCTCTTCCTCAGGATATTTTTCATTAGGATTAAAGTCTTTATATGCTAAAGCGTAACGAATCATTGAAGCATTCGATGATAAAGAAAGATTATGAAGCATATCAATTTATAAACAAATGTTTCTTCAATAATTTTATCGATTGGGTCAATCATAATTTCAACATCTTTATTGCAATAATGAATAAAATATTCTAATCTATTCTTAAAGTTTTTAGCATCATTGAGATATATTTGATAATCACTATCTGATATAGTTTCTTGAGTTAATGCTGAATAAAATGAATCTTGAGTGAATGGTTCCACTTTATATAATTCTTCTTCGTAATTTTCCCACGTGATGAATTGATAAGGGAAAAAGGATTTAACACGTGATTTATTGTTTCCGAAATCTCGAGTGAATTGGTCTAATGTCCCACCCGCTATATAATTTCTGATGTCAATAAATCTCAATTCATATGGAGCGTTTGTTTTCTTTACAATGACTTGCTTAAATTGAGAAGAAGAACCCAGCATTGATTTTATTTTCCATTTTGCAGTGTTTAAATCACGAAGAATTAAATTTAAATCAAACTTTCCCGAATTAAAACCTATGATATTCACTTTATTGAATTCCTCATCTAGAAGTTCTTTAAATGCTTCCTTCTGTTTTTCATTTAATGTATGGGACAAAGTCCCCGCCGTTTGCGGCTTCAATAATTCTTCATATTGTTCAATATTTGATTTAGCAACTAATGAACAGGTTGAAAATAAAAACTCAATCCAATCAGAAATAAAAGAATCACTTGAAGTTAAGCAAAAATTCCTCGTATATGTTTTATCATTTAATTTAACCGTTGATGATACCATGAATGATTTTAAGTAAGCGTTCAAAGTTGCACACTCAGAAAGTTGTAATTCTTCTTTAGTCTCTAATGTTTCGAAGTCAAAAGTAATATAATATCTTGTCGGTTTATAATATTTCTGCAAATTGTGAGCTAATAACCACTGATATATCTTCTGTTTCGTAATATGTGGTGCATATGGTTGCTGTGTCTTTTGCAACTGAACGTCTTGAATTAATCTCCCATTATTTTCTTTACATTTCTCACAATGCTTTAAAAATCTTCTTTGGTTTTTCCTTTCTGGATCATCACGGATAGAATAAACTTCTTCTTTACAATATGGACAAACTTTATAGCCGGTGAGTGCTTCAACGTCTGTTATTCTGTCAGCGTGAAGTTTTCCACATGGACTCTGTGTTAATAAAATATTTACTGTTTCAAATTCTGGATCTATCATTATTGATTCCACTAATGGAAAGTCTACCTTATTTATGTCCACGTCTTCTGGTTGAGGATCACAATAATAGAAATCAATATTAACATTTAACATTCTCGCTAATCTCTCACTTTCTGATGAAATGTCAAACCCTTCATATGCATCTATTGCTTCATTTAAATAGCTTCTACGAGTTTTAGGATTAACACCATCAGGAATGTTATAGAAGCGTTTAAATAACCTTCTACCTTCTGCTCTAATTTGATTATCATTCATTTTAACTGTTCCGTTTTTGTTCATTTATGTAAGAATAAAAAATTAAAAAATAAATAAAAATAAAGTTTATTTTTTAAAGTGTAATGCATGAAAAATAGCGTGACTTCACTTTTGACAGTTTACAAATGTAAAGTGTTGCATCCTTAAAAACTTGGAAATATATACATTCATGAATTATCTTGTATATTAATTGAAAATCCATAAAACCCTAACAATATTTTTTCTTAAAAAAACTATAAAAATATAAATAAAATTAATCGTTAAATAAAAATATTTGATATTAGAATTTTATTGGAAAAATAAAAAACTTAATATTTTAAAGAAATACTTAAATACTTGAATGTTTTAACTTTTACATTATCATATAGACTCTCAAATTATTGATTGGAAACGGTTTGAGGGTTATCAATTTAAAAAAAATTGTGAGTTTTTTAGATTTTTGGCAATGTTAAACGGTTAATTTTTTCTCAAAAAAAATTATTTCGAATTTCCGAAATTTTTGACATTTTGGCTGAGAACTATGGTCTGCGAGGTACATAGATAGAATCAGTACCTCGCAGACTATAGTTCTCTATATGGCGCCGAAAATTTTTGGTGAAATGTCGTCGCACTTCACCAAAAATTTTTCGGCGCCATAGGAAGAATTGGAGGGTGTGAGATACTATTACATGCTATAGTGCTCACACCCTCCAACTCCCAATCAAAATCGCATAAAATTTGCTACTTATCTTCAGATTACCTCCCATTATAAAATATATCATTGCTATCTCATCGTACTATACTTCCACCCTATTGTATTTAAAAATATAAAATTTTTTGATAATATATTTTTATATCTTGAATTTTCAAACAATATATTCACAGATAATATAATGGGAAATCTATCTCAACCTAGCCTTAAAGTACCAAACTCCTGCTTGCATTCTCACTCACAAATATTAAACATCCATCTCCAAAAAACTAAATTCTTCACAATTTTTTTAAAATTGAGAACATAAAAAACGTATGCATTCAATAATTTAAGATACTAACAAATATTAAAAACTTCAAAATATCAGATATTAACGTTTTTCAATTAAAAAAAATATCATTTTGCTTTTCAATTCGAACATAAATCTTAAATATTTTTAATTAATATCTGATTTACAGCATTATTATCCATTTATAAATCTGACAAATAAATGACAAAACCATCAGAAATAGCGTCACTTTTTGTCAAAAGTGAAGTCACGCTATTTTTCATGCACAACACCCTGATACATTAAATCTAATTCCTGTCTTATTTAATTTCACAACTTTGAAAAGGAATGTATGAATAGCTATAAAATGATAGAAGATGTTTTATGGGTTGCTTCCATTTTTTCTGAAATAAATGAATAATATAATGTTATAAGTTTTCATATCTTTTATGTTCTTAATAACGAATGTATAGACCTTTCAACTTCGTCTTCCTTCGGTGCTGTTCTTTCATATGAAACATTATTAGTATCTTCAACAATAAAACCGCAATCACATAAAATTTTATATGTTCCAATGGTTTCTTTTGATATTTTATCTAATAAATCAAAAAACTTTATCAACAACCTGTGCATTTATTTAAATAATAATTTGTGTAAATATCATGATCTTCTTTCTTAATCGTATTAGTTGCATATGTCACGTTTTTAAGAGCTTTTTTGAATTTCTCAGAATCGAGAGGGGTGAAAAAAGATACAAGGGTATTCTTCATTATCAAAAATTGTAACTTATGTTTACGAATAAATTTAGTACCTTCTTCTGAAAGTGTTTCGTCTATTTCACCATCTAATAAATTTTGTGTTGATTCTGAGACATAATTTTTATATCTTTCTTCATGAGATTTCTGAACTTCTGATTCTGAAGCTGGATATTCATTAAACCCTCTACTTCATTTCATTATATTTTTCAACTTTCTTAATTCCTTAATTCTTCATCTATTTCATCTCTTATTTTTTTTCAGTCTTTCAATTTCATTGTATTCATCATCTTTAATCCGTTCTTCATAATATTCAGGGAAAACATCAGGTTCTTTAGGTTTTTCTTCTTCAGATGTAGGATATAAGAAATTTATAACATCATCTTTATTCATTTTTCCATCATAATCTAAATCATTTAATAACTCGGCAAATTTTTGACAATTTCTTAAAATAATATTATTAATTCATAACCCACCTCCTCTAATATATCCTTTATTTCCTCGTTTGTGAATCCTAATTTTTTAACGTTGTTAGTTTTGACGCTCATTTCATACAAAATAAAAAAATAAAATAATAAACATAACTAAGTTTTAATTTTTCGTAAGAAGTTTATTTTTTATTCATGAAAATAATTATATCTGATTTATTTTATTCTCTCGTACATACTAGATTTGAAGAATTCAAACATTTCCATAATCTCCTAAATGTTTTCTTATCCCTAACGTGTGCCAGTTATTATATGAAACTGAATAAACTTTATCTTTATCTTTAACACCTTTATCACTTCCAATATATTTATATCTCAGTTTTGATTTAGTATTTCATATTCATTAACGTTTAATAATTCACAGTCTTCCTTTTTAAATTGATGTTTAAGATATTCTGTAATAAACAGAAATTCATCAAAAGTGACAGCTCTCAATTTTTTGACATTTGTAAATTCTAAATTGAATGAGAAAAATGAAATAATACTAAGCATAATAAATATTCTAGATTTAATTATAATTAGGAAAAAGTTAGTTTTGAGAGTACTTTTCATAGCATATAGAATGAAATCTTCTGAAAAATAATATCACATAAACTCATATTATTTTCTAATATATAACTATTTTATATAAAAATCAAATTCAATGATCTTAAAAGCGAAGGATAAACCTCACAATTTACGAATATAATGAGTGGGAATATAATGCTTATCTATCATAAAACCATATGAAATATCAATTTTTGCTTTACGCCTAATTTTGACGACAATTAGCAAAAAATGTAAATTGTAACACTCAGTCCATTTGAATATGAAAAATAAAATGACTTTGATTAAATTTTATTTATCATGCAATTCTTCTTGCGACCAAAGATTTGAATAAAATTTCAAAAAATAAGATAGCTTAAAAAATAATATACGGTAGTGTTTACTAATAGATGAATAGTATATAAATTCTATTAAAATGGATTTGATCCAAAAAATATATAAAATTTGATCATAAATAAAATCGTTTTTAATTACTTCTTCATTTAAATTATAACAATTATTTTTGGTTTTATATTTTTTTGGATCAAATCCATTTTAATAGAATTTATATACTATTCATCTATTAGTAAACACTACCGTATATTATTTTTTAAGCTATCTTATTTTTTGAAATTTTATTCAAATCTTTGGTCGCAAGAAGAATTGCATGATAAATAAAAACATTTAATCAAAGTCAATTTTATTTTTCATATTCAAATGGACTGAGTGTTAACATTTAACATTTTTTGCTTAATTGTCGTCAAAAATTAGGCGTAAAGCAAAAATTGATATTTCATATGGTTTTATGATAGATAAGCATTATATTCCCACTCATTATATTCGTAAATTGTGAGGTTTATCCTTCGCTTTTAAGATCATTGAATTTGATTTTTATATAAAATAGTTATATATTAGAAAATAATATGAGTTTATGTGATATTATTTTTCAGAAGATTTTGTGTTCTTCTTCAAAATTTTATTTTTTATTAAAAAGAATCTTTACAAAATATACATTTACTTTAATTAATATTTAAAAACGTGCTCTATCAAAAGTTCCAAAAATTCAATATTTTAGCTTTTCTGATGTGTCACTTTTGATGAATTTCTGTTTACAACAATTCAGGATTTAATACTCTACGTTTATATGCTCCTAACTTAGTTCTAAAGGTTTTTCTACAAAATTTAGGAATTCCATCCTCTTTAATGTCATCAATGATTTCCATTTCATTATTTTCAATTTCTTCTTCTCGTTTATGAGGTCTTTGATTATGACTCCATTGATTCCATGAAATTAAATATTCTTTATCATTATATTTATACCTCATTAGCTTATTTTGGCTTTCATATTCATTTAATAATTCACAATCTTCATTTTTAAATTGAAGTTTAACCCATTCAGGATTTAAACAATGTTTAATTAATCGCGGAATATCTGACATCATCTATATATAGCTTCTTTTATAAAAGATAAAAAAATAAATTATTTTAAAATTAATGTTAATTTTTTAATGATTTATAAATAAATATATTTTAATGCATCGTCTATATATAGATGTAACAAAAAAAGTCACTAAACCCGTCATATCCTACTACTATAATAAATGATAGATGAAAAATATATTTTCCAATAAATTTATATACAATAAATTATAGCATTTTTATTCTATATGGCTACTGCTTGTTTAGTTGGAGTCCAATTTTCAAAATTTGGTTTTTTCATATCATTTTTATCAGTTTCAGGTGATTTCGGTTTAGATGGAGTCTTTTCTTTTGGACTTTTGGTTGGATTTGTCTTTGCTAATGCTTCTTTGGGCTTTTCTGATTTATTCACTGAATTTTCATTCGATTTTCCTTTCTTTGGTGAAGGAGATTTACTTTGGTCTGATTTGACATCTGATTTCTTTGGTGTTTCTTTACTGGATTCAGAATTCGAAATTCTTGGAGATTTATCTTCTGCTTCTTTAATTGGACTATTTGCATCGATCAGAAGATTCTCAGAACTAGTATCCGCTGATGTTGATGCAGATTTTCCTTTGAATGTACGTGCTTTAACTTTGAAAACGTGGACTGTACTATCGATCTCTTCTTTGGTAAATATTGTCATTACGTCGTTAGAAGCTTTATAAAATTTATCTACTTTCTGTAATTTGAATACTTGAACGAAATATTTCTTATGATCTGCAAAACTGAAAAGGCCACGAATAACAAGAGTTGTTTTATCGACTTCATTGGTATTGACAGCACTTAAAATTTCAATGCAAGTAACTCCATCGATGAATACCATATCTTTGTTATCTGTAAAATTGCCAACCTTCTCATCATCAGGTGTAATTCTCATTATTATAGCATCTTCTTCATAATACGAATCCATATAGCTCTTGAAAACTAAGTTAGTGTAATAATTTCTGATGAATGGACGAAAATCCATAATTTCAAATGAAATTTAATTCGTTAATTTTGTTATAAAATATTTCTTTTGCATATCAATAATAACTAACAATGATTTTGAGGGTGGCCACAAAATTTAGCAAAAATACATAACACTATTCTTTTATTGCATTATTGATTTAAATTTATTTTTCTACATGTACTCTGTAGAATTGGCTCTTTGTATTTTCTTTGAGACAATCAAAACTTTGGAGAAGCATTATTTCGCGGTATATTCTGAATGACATGATAATACACGGACTGTTTTGGCTACATGATAAATATATAGGCTATTTAACCACTTACCATTGAATTCCGCGCAATATAAATTTCAAAACTTCGTAATAAAAATAAAGTTCTCAAATTCTGAAATAGCATTTTACGTTTGATAAAGTATTTCCATTAAAATGAATATCTTATCAAACTCCACGTTTTCGGAAATATTTATGTTGAATTGTCCAAATTAGCATTTGACATTTTATTGATCCAATAATGATAGTTATCGCCAAATATGCATTATCCATTAAGAAATCTATCTTTTGAGACCAAATGCAAAATCTTTTCAAGTTATAATAGAGTTATTATTGTTTTGATGCAAATGAAAAAATGAATATTCTCTTAGTTATTCGAGATATGATTGAGTTCAGGTTGAAACCGATTATATATCGAGAAAATGATAAGATCATTCTGAACAATTAGAAACGTGACATGTTTAAATAATCAAGATATGAAAACAATTCAGATCTAATTGTGCATCATTTTTATTAAACAAACCACCTTTTTATTTCAATTTCTATTTTATAAGTATTTATTTCAATGATATTTTTCTTTCTTAGTGTTGTGCTCTCTGTAACTCAAATAACGAAAAAGGATTATAAAAAATACTTCACAGAAGAACAGCATAAACCAATATTTGTGACACTTTATTCTGAATGGTGTCCGCATTGTTATCAATACAAACCAACAAGGGAAAAAATTGAAAGTCATTTCGCGAAAAACAGAAAACTTACAATAGCAACAATTTCATGTGATAATGATCGTCAGTTATGCGATCAATTCCCAGGGACAGGAACACCAAGACTTTATATGACAACTTCAACCATAGAAAATGCAGAAAAATTCGAAAGGTCTAGAACTTTCGAAGAAGTTAAAGCATTCATTGACAAATATATTGAACCAGCAATTACACAAATAAATTCGAAAGATCAATTAGAAGCGAAAATAAAAGAAAATGTTAATAGCTCTATATTTATATGTCAGGATCTACAAGGCACCAAGTTAAGCCAGATTTTTGTGAGACTTGCCTCAAATTATGTTTCATATCCAGCCAAGTTTTTAAATCTGACATTTGAAAGATATAAATCAAACGAACCTTTGATTACATATTACTATTCTCCAACGAAAGTTCAATTTTCAATCCATGCCACAGATTCTCAACACAAAATCGAAAGATTTATACATGAACATATTTACCCACCTTTCGGAGTTGCATCTACTACATTCTTTGATACTCAAATTGAGTTAAAAGAGCCATTTTTAGTAATTGAAGATCTCAAGCATCAATTTCAAGGGCAACTTATCAAATACTCGAAGGACTTCCCAGAGAATGTAAAATCTATTGAAATAGATTGTACAGAATACTTAAAATTCTGTAAACAAAATGGATATAATCCAAAAGACCATCCATGGATAGCTATTGTGAATCTCAATAGAGATACATATTTCCACTTTACAGGGGACTTCACAAATAAAAAAGAATTCTTAAATTGGGTTACAAACGTATATCAAGGAAAAATATCTGAAGAAGGACCAGGAGCCGGTTTTATTGGCTTCATAAAACGAGATGTACTCGAGACACTAATTGATTATACATTCTGGATCAAAGTTCTTGGATTGCTTGCAATTACTGTTTTAATTTATAATCTATCCATTGCTGTAAGAAAATTTATAGCACTAAGGCATAGAGGTTACCATGATAGACGCGGATTTAGAGTTAGATAGAATAATTTTTTGTCAAAATTATCTTATATTGTTTTTTTATTAAATAAATTACTATTACTATCAAAATCAATAAGAATTGAAACTTTTTTTCGAATTTCATATAAATCAACCAAATCGGATTAAACTTTTATCAAAATTAGCTTGCAAATAGGGCTAATATTGTTACCTAAGGATCAAATCGTATTTTGCATATTACAAATCTGTAAGTACATTCAGAATGAATAATCAAATGTCAAAATTCGAATTTCTAATTATGACTAGTAAGGGTTTCGTTTTGCGAAAAAAACGTACAATACGCAATTTCGCCAAAAAAACATTTAGCTAGCAATTTCGACCCTTGACTCCACTAAGGACGTCACTTTTTTGATATTGCGATGTGATATTTTTGGAAAATCTTTATGAATATCGTATATAGAGTCTCTTCAATATCTATATTTCATATTTTTATTGATTTTTAAAGTTTTTGCTAAAAGTATTCAATTATGAGAGCTGGACAAGATCGAAAAATCTGACATTTGTAAAGTTCCAAATCTGACAGTGTAAACTGTTTACAAATGTCAGATCAAAAAAACTTTGCCCGCCAAAACGCAAAAGTGCCATAATCTCATGGTGGACCACAGCTGGTGTCGCCGCCGACTATTCACTTGCTGGTATGCTACGCAGCCTTTGATCTGGCCAATCATAGTGCTGCTCCATCCATATCAGCAAGTGATTTCGGCTGGAGATCTCCAATGGGTCTTCCATGAGGTTTCTGCACGCCAGAAGCACAATATCTATGCAGCCTGGCTGCTAGGATAGCGTAGCTAGGCTGCGTAATTATTGTGCTTCTGGCGATATTAGTTATACGTTATTGCCCTCGTTGATTATAGTACTACTCCCTTAACCTCCGAGGGTTAGGGGAGTAAATTTGCTCGAAATGGGCAATGTTCATTACGAAATCTCTCATTCGATGAGAGACTTCGTAATGAGCATTGCCTTAAAGTACTCTTACTACTCTTTCCTGGTTCCCAAAAGGCCTAGGATTCTGTAATTAATCGAATAGGACAGAGTTTTTCCGAAGTCTCTCATTTGATGAGAGGCCTCGGAAGAACTCTGTCCTATTGTAATGTAGTTGTGGTATTGGCCCACAAAGAGCGAGAGAACATGTCTGTAATTCGTTTATGCTGAAGCTATCTGGATGTCTCTCAAATGAGGAAGGAAATCCAGAAAACTTCAGCATAAGTTAATGCAGATGTGATTCTCTGGCTCTTTGTCGGCCAGAGAACGAATAAAAAGTTTATTGGATGAGTAGGCTCGTTGGATGCCTACCCACTGCAAATATACGTTATTTTTTTATTTCCTATGAGAAAATAGTTTTTCATTTTTGTACTACTATATGTTTTACTACTTCATAAATCGTCTATTTTTCTTATTAAAACCTGATTTTTCCGTGTGATTTGTAATCTATGCATTCCAAAAATGCGTTTTCCGCTCTCAGAACGCGAAAATATGCACTATATGAGGAGATAAAGAAGATTCTTTCTCACCAAAATTCCAAAAAAAATCGTTTTTCTTTTTTTCTCCGCGAAAAATGTGCTTTTTGATTTCGAAATTTTCGAACCGTGATTTTTTTGGAGATTTTTCGAAAATTTTAATATGATAGATGTGAGTTATTTTATGTACTTTATTGGATTTTCTGCTTATTTTTGAATTATGATCAAGATTGAAAAAGTCGAAAAAATCGAAACATTAGAAATTTCTTTTTAATAAGAAAATAGACTATCTATGATGCAATAGAGTATATAGTGTTATAAAAATTGAAAACTATTTTCTCATAGGAAATAAAAAAATAACGTATATTTGCAGTGGGTAGGCATCCAACGAGCCTACTCATCCAATAAACTTTTTATTCGTTCTCTGGCCGACAAAGAGCCAGAGAATCACATCTGCATTAACTTATGCTGAAGTTTTCTGGATTTCCTTCCTCATTTGAGAGACATCCAGATAACTTCAGCATAAACGAATTACAGACATGTTCTCTCGCTCTTTGTGGGCCAAATACCACAACTACATTACAATAGGACAGAGTTCTTCCGAGGCCTCTCATCAAATGAGAGACTTCGGAAAAACTCTGTCCTATTCGATTAATTACAGAATCCTAGGCCTTTTGGGAACCAGGAAAGAGTAGTAAGAGTACTTTAAGGCAATGCTCATTACGAAGTCTCTCATCGAATGAGAGATTTCGTAATGAACATTGCCCATTTCGAGCAAATTTACTCCCTAACCCTCGGAGGTTAAGGAGTAGTACTATAATCAACGAGGGCAATAACGTATAACTAATATCGCCAGAAGCACAATAATTACGCAGCCTAGCTACGCTATCCTAGCAGCCAGGCTGCATAGATATTGTGCTTCTGGCGTGCAGAAACCTCATGGAAGACCCATTGGAGATCTCCAGCCGAAATCACTTGCTGATATGGATGGAGCAGCACTATGATTGGCCAGATCAAAGGCTGCGTAGCATACCAGCAAGTGAATAGTCGGCGGCGACACCAGCTGTGGTCCACCATGAGATTATGGCACTTTTGCGTTTTGGCGGGCAAAGTTTTTTTGATCTGACATTTGTAAACAGTTTACACTGTCAGATTTGGAACTTTACAAATGTCAGATTTTTCGATCTTGTCCCGCTCTCTATTCAATTATTTTTGCTATTTGGCCGGGTAAATGGCAGATTTGCGACATTTTCTGATATGATATTCATATTCTACTCTGATAATAATGCTTATAGAACCCCCTTGCTATTGTGTCAAAATTGCGAAACCGATAGCAAAAATATCTCGCAATATCAAAATTGAGATATTGAGTGAATTATGCATTACAGAGATTAAAAATCTGATTTGTGAAAACATCTCATCAGTTTCTAGCTAATTCAAAAATCTTTAATATCTTATTCGATTAAAATGAAAGGGGAATAGTTTCATTATGCTTTAAAGGACAGTATTATAATATAATCATAGCTTTCGCTCAATATACAACATTTTTTATTCGAAATCTATGGTAAATATCCTAAATACTGATTGCTTTGCATTCATATCTCTTACATTTTCTATATTCACATCACTATTCATTGCTATTCCTATCTTTTTCATTATTGTTTGTTTCTCATAATTTCTCAAAAAACATTATTACTTGATATTTGTAAATATCATACTTTATAACGTAAATAAGAACTTAACCTATTAAGAAAAGCAGTAATGAAAGAAAAATATGAAATTCATAGAAATTACAAGTTTCTGATGACAATTAGCTTAATTAAACCAAGTACAAGATTATATAAATGTATTTTCTATCTAATTATCCATATAATATCTTATCCAGAAAAAATAACTTGATCAATACCAAATGATTTTTTAACTAGTAAATAAAGTATTTTCTTTACATACACATTGTATCTCATAGTTTTTTTTTTAGGTTTCGCAAAACTTCCAAAAACAAATATGCTATAAAAGTGACAATTTTAGCAAAACGAAACCCTTATGACTAGTTGCTCCCTTCCCATATATCTTTTGGAACATCAACTTTTTTTGAAAACAAGAACTCATCAAATTTTGGTAAAAAAAAACGTACGTTAATGTATGCAGAGCGGGCAGAAGCCTTTACTCATAATTCATGCAAAAAGGTTGCCCAGCTCGTAAAAGTTGTCACTATCATGGCAGAGCAGGCTCGAGATTCTCAAATGTCATTAGTTCGATACACAAATCACTATGAAGAAGCAATTCACAAACTTTCTGATGATTATATTGATCGATTAAATGAAATGGGCTCTCAGCTTTCTAAATATCGTAAATCTGTTATTGATAAGATGTGTAGACACTTTGGAAATAAATATAAAGATTCAAAAGGTGATTATACAGCTTCAGTTAAAAACGTAGCAGCTCAATTCTCGGATATTGTTGCAAATTTCAAGAAACTACGAAAAGATTGCGTTAAATTCGAAACAGACGTTACAATTTCTGCAAATGAAGTCACAAAATCAGCAGACGACTTCTTTTCTGATGTTAAGAAACAAAAATCAAAACGAATAATGCATAATTTACTCAAAACAAATCCAGAAATGAACGAAAAGTTACAGCAAATTCAAGATTCAATCAATGAATCTGCAACAAAGTTCAGAAAAATGCAAGAAGAGCAAGATATAGCAATGACTCTACTAAATGCGCAGATCAAACGAGTTTCTCCAAAAGAATTACGAAAAAGATTTCCAGAATTTCAGAATTACAAGAAACAGTTAACAGAATTACACAAATCAGTGACAGAGTTAAATAAAGCATATACATCATTGAAGTCAGCTTCTTCTGCATATACAACCAAATCAAAACCGATATACAAGAAAATTATTAATGAAGCATTAACTTCTGAAACAAGAAGAAACTCTTCTAAAGATGAATATATTAGGAAAATGAATAAGGAGCAAAAAGAGCATGCAAAAGTTATAGCATCCCTAAATAAACAGAATAAGCAATTAAATAAAACCAGAGCTGAAGAATTAAATGCGATTTCGAAACAGATCGAAGCAATTAGAAATCAAATCGAAGAATCATACCATCAAAATGAAGAACAGACTAAAAAGAAAAATGAAATCGATGAAAATCTAAGACAAAACCAAAATGACAAAAATCAAGCAGAACAAACTCTTTTAAAATCTAAAAATCTAAGAAATGAGCATAGCATTCAATTATCTTTAACTAAGACGGAAGAAATTAAAAAATCTATGGATAACGATATTAATATTATAATGAAATCAAGGGTTGAAGCGAAAAATGCTTTTCATAATAATATTATAAATGATTTGCAAGTATTTGCAGGATATCTAAGTAGTGAACAACACAGATTTAAAGATTTGCTGACAAATTTCGATAACAGCTTAAAAGAATCATTCTCTTCAGTTGATAAACTTGCAGAGATAAGTATTAAAACATATAACGCTGAAATTGAAAATTTGATGTCTTTAATTAAGTCAATTAAAGCACAGAATAATAAAATTCAAGATCAAAACATACAAGAAAACGAAGCAAAAGTCAAAGATCTCATTAAAACATATGATGATAGACAAAAAACAAAATACGATAATTATAAACAGCAACTTGATCATCATATCATTATTAGGAATAAAAAGATCGATGAAACAAAACAAGGCTTTTCTCATGATCTAGAAGAAAAACAAACACAACTTAATGCCGAGTTTTCAAATCAACTTCAACAGAATTCAGAACAATTTGAAAAGGAAATAACAAATGATAAAGAAGTTGAGAATCACAACTTTGAAATACTCAAATATCAGACTCAACTTAAAAATCAAGAAGCCTCTGTTCAGTATTCAAAAGATACATTAGAAAAAACAATAAATAATCTTGACCATGAGATAAATCAAGCAGATAAATCTTTGAGAGCTTTTCAAAGATCAATAAAGACACAGACATCAGAGATAATTGAACAATTTGAGATGCAAATCACGGTTGATCAGGTCAAACTTAAAGATGCAATTGAAAATATTAGCAAATTATATTCAAAAGAAGAAAACCAACAAGGTTGTGATATTATTGAAGCAATTAGGAGAGTTCAACAGACCAAAAATAGAACTGATGATTTGATTCTTAAAAGGACACGCGAATACGAAGAAATCAAAGCAAAATATGAAAAAGCAAAAATCGAAATTCAAAATAAAATCTCCCAATTGAAAAGTGGTGCTATTGAAAAGGAAAAGATCAGACAAATTGCCGAACAACAAGTACGAGCTGAAGTTTCAATTGAAGATAGAATTGCTGATTCAGAAGAACAAATACAAAAACTCAAAAAAGAAATCGAAAATGAAAAATCAAAAGGCGAAAAGCAAAAATCTTTGATTCTTCATACAATTGAAACAGACAAGAAGATGTTTGAAGACTGCAAAAAGGAAATAGAAGATTCGATATCAAAAATTCCAGATCATCTTCAACCAGAAAAAGAAATAATGATTGAAAAAGTCAATAATAAGAAAAATGAGATTACAAAAAATTTTAATAACGAAATGACTAAATTAAAACAAAGAAAAGAGTTTTTAGAGAACCAACAAAAAGAAGTTATTGAATCGAATCAGGTCTCTATCTCTAAACTTGTGAAACAAAATGACGATGATTCTGCTAAACAACAAAATGAACATAATAAAATCTTCACAAACATGAAAAGTAATTTTATGAAGATATCAGATCAATTTGATAAGAAAGTAATAGAATTAACATCTCATTATGTGGAGAAATTGGCAGAATCTATGGATAAAATGAAAAGAGATGTCGAAGATCGTGATATTTATGAAGCAAAAGCGCAATCAAGTCAACTTTCACGAGATATTGAACAAGAATTCAACTCATTTTATGGTTTTCTTTCCAATGCAAGGAAACCAGTCGTGGAACCAAAATCACCGATTCAAAAAAATGAATCAGAAAGGAACATCAGTACTGGAGCACCAAGAAGAGCAGCTACTGCTCATTCCACCAGACCACGAAGCAACAGATCGCGTATACCAGCTTAATTTATATTTATATTTTTATTTTTGTTTATTATAAATTTATATGTATTGTTTGTATTGATTAATTTAACCAACCTAATTTTTTTGGTACATAGAAATCGCTTAATTTATAGAATCATTGGAAATGGCAGGGATTTAAATGAGGTGCAAAAAATACGAAAAATGATAATTTATTTCTAATGGAATTCATAATCGAAAATATCAGAAAAAGAAATAATCATATAATGGAAGTTCGGCTATTTCTTTATAATTTCTTTTTATTGTAAAACGAAGAGCTATATAATGAATTTAATGAAGAGCATTATAATCTTTTGCATTTATATGTGAAAGTAAAATTTTTGCCATTTCTTTTAAATGATTTTGTGCAACATAATGAAGAGTAGTTACTCCATATATATCTTTTTCATTGACATTTGCACCATGTGAAAGTAGAATTTCGGCCATTTCTTTATAATTATTCTGTACTGCACAACGAAGAGCAGTTACTCCATATATATCTTTTTCATTGACATTTGCACCATGTGAAAGCAGAATTTCGACCATTTCTTTGTAATCATGACTTGCTGCATAATAAAGAGCGAATGCTCCAAATTTAGCTTTTTTATCGACATTTGCACCGTGTGAAAGAAGAAGTTCGGCTGTTTCTTTACTATTATTCATTGCAGCAATATGAAGTGAAGTCAATTCATAATCATCTATTGCATTGACATTTGCACCATGTGAAAGAAGAAGTTCGGCCATTTCTTTACTATTTCTTGCTGATGCATAATGAAGAGCAGTTTTTTATCACAATTCACAATATTGATTTTTGCTCCTTGTGATATGAAATATTCACAAAGAGATGGAATAGCAAATATCGCCGATTTAATAAAGCAATGATCAATCTTATATTTATAATATTTATCGAAATAAACCAAAAATGCTTCAAGATTATTGTAAATTCCGCAAAATTCTAAATCGATTTCTATATAATATTCATTCATCAAGAATGTAACAAAATCAATGTTGTGTGAAATAATTGCATATTTCATGCATTCTTTATTTGGTTTTTGAGATTTCAAACATTCACTCATGATCTCTGGATTTCCTCCTAAAAATGAAAATTGTAGACATTTTTGAGTTATTTTTGAGTCAAATTTCGTTCTTAATAACTTGAAACAATCAACAGCTCCATGGTAACAACATAATTCAAGTAATGAATATCCTTTATTAGAATATGGATAAAAATTGCTTTTAAGTCTTTGATATTTATAAAATCCTTTGCTTGCTGTAAATGCGATGAATTTTTCTAAATCATTATACATAATTGCTCTGTATATTGTATTTTCTGTATGAATATCCAGATTTTCTGCATCATTATCGTCGAAATCACCAGATTCGTCTAATTTAATTCCATATTCTTTATAAAATAGAAAGTTTGAAATAGTTGGAATGTCGTTGACATCGTTGACATGGTAATCATCCGATATGAGTTTGGCAAGGGATAAATACGACTTTGTATAGCGATTGTTATACGGAATGAAATTTAAAATGTCTTTTATAACATTTCGAGCCAGATGTTTCTTTGAATCAAGCAATTCTGTTTTGATCATTTTGTATATCTCGTTTAATTCTTCTTCTTTTTCCGTTTTTAGCTGATACAAAGCATTGTATGAATCAATATAGTATTTGTAGATGCTTCGCAATTTGCTGTATTCATTTGTATCAATGTCTTGGTCTGACATTAATTATTTTTAACGCATCTCTCTCATCACACGAACAAAATAAGGAGTTTATAACCTTAAGATACAGGGAAAATTAAGAGAATCAGTTCATATCGGAGAAAATCCTTAAAAATGTCACACTTGTTAAATATCAGCTATTAAATGTAGTAACTTATAAGGATAAAGGAATAAATGGCTGAAACTTTCTTGTGGCATCTAGAATTATTATGCATGGTAGTACAGTATACATTGTGCGTCGCCTGTAGCCTACAGCTACAGTCACCGACACAATGAAAAAAGTGACAGAAAACTGACACCATACGGGCGCGCATATGTACGCATATATGTGTAAAAATAAACGTTCATATGTAAACTAACCTTTATTCACTAGCAGGGGCTGATAAATCATAATCGTCGAGAAGTACGATAGGTGGTCCCACCTGTTTAATCTGTATGGAGAGGCAAACGTGACGTAAGAAGCATAACACTGGTTTCTCAGTATATTTAATAGACTCTGCTGTTGGCTTAACTGTAAGCTTATATGTAATAGGTGAATTAGATAACTGACCCTGTTGGAATGTATAATCAGTTTCGCAAGGGAATCCACATAGGTAATGACCTAAGTCATTTGACTCGATTCCAAATTGAGGGACTGATGTGGTTGTGATAGACCTCATGACATCATAGTTGAAGCCAACAGTATCGTTATTATTGTTAGTGGCATTTGCCTGCATCTCATAGAAGATTGGATCATTAGATGCTTGAGCCTCAGCGGGTATGTTACCATATGCTCCACAGTTCAATTGAATTTGTTCAAACAATGGATTTTCATAGGTAGTGTTATAATTAGGTGTTTTCTTAAATAGTGTATAAATGGTGTTCACATATAATGGAGTAAATGCTGCCGTGAATGTACAAGGAGTTCCTTCACCTTTAGCCATTGAACCATCCATAGTAATGCAGTCAATTCTTTTGATTGGGAAGTTTAGAGTCTTTGCCGAATATCTTGTCACCAAATCACTATAGATGTTAGGGTCCAAAGAGAATGAGTTACAGTATGTAATCATTTCAAAGAAGTTTGCATTCTTCTTAGTGAACTTAATAAACTTGGTACCAAATGATATCGTACTCTTATCGGCATTCCAAGTTACAGTATCAATAACTTTGATACCTTCATAGATAGGAGTGAAGTGATTAGTGATTGGAATATAGCTTGTAACATTGGCTTGCATGTTCGGTAATGGTAGAATATCCTGATAACTTAATGGTGTCCAAACCATACCAGCAATACTGAACTTAACCTTAAGTTGTAAGTTACCAGCAAACGCTGGAAGGAATCTAATGTTATTAAGTATTAGGAATCTTCTTAGGTCAATCTTGATTGGTATGTGGAACTTTAATGTAGTTGCACCACTAATTGGTTTATTGAACTCAATAATCTGTCCAGAACGAACTGTATCACATCTATTGAAAACATCTTTATGTCTAGCCTTACTAAATACATCAACTTTCTTAATAGCTTCTGTTGTAGATGCAGTAGAAGTAATGTAACCTTCTTCTCTAGCATTATCTTGTGTATAAACACTTTTACCATTAGCGATTAATTGATATGATTCAACAGCATAGAATGAATCAATGTATCCCAACCAAATTGCTGGAAGATGTGCACATGATTTGCCACCAGCATATTTAGTATCAATTGCTTTAATTGCTGTAACATTTGATCCTGTAGGAGCTGTCTCAACAGCTCTTTCTTTATATACTTCACCATCATATTTAGGAACTTTTTCATCAGCTGGTTCAGTTTCTGTTGTAATTATGCACTCACCATCGACATAACCACTAATGAACGTATTATATAAGTCAATCATGTTCTCACCAGGTGGTGATATGTTAAATGTAATATAACCGTTATCAATAGTATTTGTCGGCATAGCTGGCACTTTTGTTGGGACATATCTATGGTTAGTATCTCCAATAGGAACTGCCCCATCAACTTGATCGAAATAATATCTTACTTGTCTGATGGAATCAGCAATACTGTATGTATTGAGGTTATCGTTCAACATCTTTCTCAGCTATAAAAAATTTACAATCTTCTTATTCTTGGGATTATTCGTCTTATTTGTGGCTGAGGTTTAGGAGGTTCTGGTTCAGGCTCTGGTTCATCATCGAAGTGTATTCTTTTCTCTTCCATTGATTGAACATATTCTTGATTCTCTTTAGTTTCCTTCTCACGTTCAATTGGGTCCATGTTTGGTTCATTAACTACACTGTTACGTTCTAATATCTTTGTCATCATCTCTAACAACATTTTATTAGTATATGCTTGTTCTTCTTCTTTCTTCTCATCAACTTTAGGAGCTTCTTGAACAACAGGAGCTGGGGCAGGAGCTGGTGAATTCAATGGTGCCTTTCTCTTTCTAACTTGAACTGAACCATTCTTCATATGACAAACATAATATAATGGATGTTGTATTCCTTTAGCTTCATTCAATATGATTGATTGCTTTTCACTTGGTGAAAGTTTTGACGTCATTTCTATCCTAATAAAATTTTTTACTCCTAACAAAATGACTGAGAATACTTTCGACAGAGAAGCACTCAAGAATGAACTTCGTGAAGAAATACTTAATGAACTCAAACCAAAAGAACAAACACAAGAAGAGAAACCAGCTAAACCAAAGCGTAAACTCACAGAGAAACAATTAGCTGCATTAGCAGCTGGACGCGCAAAGAATCCACGAATGATTGCAAAGAAATTGAGAGAAGAGGAAGAAGCTAAGAAAAATAATAAGTAAGTGTTTAGAACTTTAACTTACGTTCAAAAGATGACTTCGTTGAAATAGTGAAGTCCTTATTTTTGTTGAAGCATGGTTTCGAACCAATGCACAAGTCAAAGGTTATCTCATCACCTTCATAAAGAGATTTGTACAATTCCACGATGCTATATTTTTCCCCAACTTTCTCAGGGAAGAACAAACCTTTCTTCTCGTCATAATGTACTTGTATCGCATCTGGGAACATTTGGTTTGCAGTAAGTGCAATTACGTCCTGTGTGATTCCCTTCATTCGACAGTGGAAAGCAATTTCCTTGAGGTCATTGGTTAATTCGTCGAGGTAAGTCTTCTTTCCAACGAATATAGATCTTTGTGCCTTAGACATATGTCCTGCAGTAATCTCTGCAAAGTCTGAATGAAATTGACCCAGTGCTTTTCCAATGAGTTCTCTGTTATACCTTCTCTTGTATTCTTCTGCTAACTTATCTAAGTCCTTCTCATACAAGTGTAAACTATCTGTATCCTGATAGAACAACTTCAAGCCCAAATCTTCTGCTGTGAAGAATACTTCATTCATGATTCGTTTGGACATAGAAAGGATTGAAACACCTAATGGACAATAGTTAAAGTGACGAACGATAGGTTTAAATGACTTTACACATGAAAGTTCGGAATCGGGGATGAACTCTATTGTCTGTATGTCATTATAGTTCTTAATGATATAGTCAGTGAGCTTATTGTCCTTGATGAAACGAATCTTTTTGTCAATGGGCTTTAATATCGTCTTACCATAGATACTGTTCAAAAGAAGTTTGATGATCTCTTGTATCGGATTACCTTCCTTCTTATACTTAGCACGTAATTCGAAGAGCTTCTTAACTTCATTCCTTATTGTCATGTCCCTTTTTCCATCATAATAGTATCCATCAATGACTTTGCATGAGATCTCTTGGAACTTGATCAGATCTTGAAGCGTAATGTGGTCTACGAACATCTTGCAGCATGTATTGGAACTTCTGGCAACATGTAAGTCAGGGTTGATGTCAGGATTGACGACAATCAATGGGAATGCTGAGTTCTTACCGATCGACAAGATCTCGATCTGACAGTAAAATCCTGAGATGAACTTTTCCTTTGTTGGTTCAGCTTGGTCATCATCAAAGAGATGCTCCAACAAGTATTCACTGCTCTTCATCTCTTCTGTCATAACTTTTGGAATTCCTTCTAAACAGTAAAGTCTAGCAATTGCTGATGGATACAATGATACAGCATCGAAGTCAGTGATGAGTTCTCCTTCATTGTATTGCTTCTTGTTCTCAGCTAGCATGCATCTTCCTCCTTGAATACACTTGGAAATATATTCACGAGGTTTTCCTGCAAGATCAAAGAGATTACCGTTCTTCCAATATACTCTCTTCTCAAAGAGTTTGTTTGAGATAGAACTTATTGAAACATAATCATAAGCATCTATTTCAAACTCAGTCATGAGGTCATTGCGGAACTTAAGAAAGCCATCTCGTAAAATGCGTACATCTTGACCGCAATAGAATGACGAATAAACTTCCATGTCAAAGTGTTCATCATCAATCTTGCAATCTTCAATCTTCTCAATGTTCTCATTAAAAGCTTCAATATCTTTGACATGATTCATGGCATCATCGATGTTACCAACTTTAGTTGTATTAACTAACTCTTCCGTGTAGTAATTATATGGGAAAACTTCTTTTTCACCACTAGTGAGGTGAAACATTTCAGGGAATCTTTCCAACTTAGTTGAGATGATTGCATAAGAGTCTTTGAAGCAGAGAAGTTTTCCTTTGTACTTTCCTTGTATCTGCATCGTTTGTGAACCTTTGATGATTGGAGTTCCTGTAATCTCTTCTAACTGAGACATGAGAAAAGTGACATCGTACGATAAGTTGTGGAAATAAACTAAACTCTTATCTGGTAAAGCTTCGAGGAATTTTGACGCACAGTCACTTCCCCAAATTGATGTATAACCATCATCGTCATCTTCCATGAAACAAATGTTGTATGCTTTGTGAATGTTTCCATCAGTTGATGCTTCGAAGTCAGCAAAGAAAACATGTTCTCTTGGGAACTTCATGTCTTTCTTCGTCTCTGAACTCCAATCTTTCTTCATCCTTGCGCAATAACGCTCATTGTATGTGAGGTCAATCATTTCTTCAAGGTTCTCATTATACATCGTTGTGAAGTATGTGCAAAGTTCTCCTGTTCTAATTGGTTCGAAATAATTGTTAGCAAACAAGAGTTCAATGACTTTTGCAAGTGGTGTAACTAACTTTGAGTTAATTGCATACCTTGTTTCATATCTTCTGTTAACTAACATCTTCTTCTCTAAAGTCCAATCCTTGCACAACTTACAAACATCTTCATAGTTCTTGATGAACATTGAACTTATTGGAAGCTTTTCGTTCAACATGTAGTGGTCATACATTAATAAAAGTTCTACTGTCATCTTTGGTTCTTCATCTGGTTCATAAGTATATGAATGATTTGAATACTTCTCGTTGTATTTGATGACATGGAACCTTATTCCTGTTTCTTTGGCAATAACCTTAATCTTTGACATTGGAAAATCTTTGACACGAATGATTTCCCTCATATGATTAATTGTTGCTTCGTCAACACCAGCTTGAATACAAGCGTAGATGAAACATGAATCTTTCATCATCTTCTTTGCTGTCTCTGCATTAAGTTCGTTGAAGATCTGATACCTCTCTAAGTTAATAGGTAATTTGCATGTCCATGTCCAAAGCTGACCATTACGTGACCTGTTTCTCTTCTTTGAATGGTTTTGTTTGATGATCTTGAGTGCGATCTTTTCTTGACCTGCTGCTCTCATCGTATCTAACATAACTTGTTCTTCAGCTGTGAGTTTATATGGTGTGTACGTTCCTTTTCTCAAAGCAGAAGCATCAACATCTGAATAAGCTGTATAGTCAAAGATCTCGATCTTCCTTAACGAAGGAATACTACAAAGGAAGAAGTCATAGTTTGATTCAAGGACTTTAGATGCTAATTCTTGTACTTCTGCTATTGGAGCTTCATTAAGTAACTGATGAACTAATGATCCCATTGTATTGATGTTCAAATGACGCAAAATGTTTCTCTTCTCATCAAAGTCGTAATAGAATGTCCACTTCTGTTTGAAAAGGTCTATCTGTCCAATGAACTTTGCCATAACTCTTGGAAACATCTTGTTGAAGTAATCTTTTCCTCTTGGACTGTATTGGTCAATGTTAAACATAATGAATCTTTCTCCTGCTTTAGTTATTGGGTCTAACCATTTCTCATCAGGAAGTTTTTGACCATTAATGTTCTTAACAACGTAAAAGGCATTCTGTATTTCTTTGTATGCTAATTCGCTCTCATCAATCTTTGGTGGAGGGTCTGAGTATATTGGTTGCATCTCCATTAACGCTCTATTATGAGATCTCTGATCGTGATCTAAAGCAACTGGGGAATTTGAAGCTGGAACATTCATGATACCATTGTAGTCATCATAGAAGCTCTTAGCATTCTTGAAAATATCTGCTACACTTCCTGTACCTCCTTGATTCTTAATTGCCAGAGCTAATTTATTGGTAATGTCTTTAGCTTTCTTAGGCATTTTGATCCCAAACATATCAAGCATACCTTTCTTATCTTCTGGTGAAAGGTTATTAACTAATCCTTTTATAGCATTGAGCATGTTGGTCTTTTATAACCGATAAAAAAATATACGTTATTTTTTTTTAATCGTCATCGTAATCATAATCGTACGAAGATTCTGTATCATCATCACTGACATCATTGGTTTCTCTAACTTCTGGCTTATCTGGTTTAATCTCTATCACCATAAACATTGGTGACAATAATCGAACAGGCTGATCTTGGAAGTCAACTAAGGTAAACGTAACATTAGTTAGTTCCCATGGAAATGCATCTATCCATGGTGAGGATTCCTTACATATAAGTGGTTTACCAGATATCCAGAACTCATTGATGTTATAACATGTAGATCTGTACATGATCTTTCTTCGATCATCAACTTGGTCAATATTATTGAACCCAGAGATGACAGACATTGATGAACGAAGGTATAACTGATACCCGAAGTTGAGCATAGGTGGTTTTGGCATTTGTAGATAATAATTATGTACAATAGGTAGTTCTATTCCATATGCACCTAAAATAAGATTTGCTCTATGTGAAGCATCTTTTAAATAGACTTTATGTCCTTTGTCCTGTGACGTAAATATAAGTTGATTCGTAGCACTCAGTGAAACTGTTACATTATGTTGACCTTTTTTCTTGTTATAATAATCAAACTGTTTTGTTACAATCTCTTGTAGTTTTGATACAATAGTATCCATATCAAATGAAAGAGCTGACTTAAATGTACACACCTTTTCTTCTCCATCTTCGTCTAACTGTAAGACAAAATAATCTGTTTCGTCACAAACAATAAAGTTCGCCATAGTACTGACACTTTTTACTCTCATCTTTATCTTACTTGGATGCCCCATGTTAGGATCTGCTTGAAACTGTATTGTCCCGTAGTTATTAGGATCAGTCGATTGTAGATAATACATCATTTTTATATGTAGTAAAAGAATGAGTGTTGTTCCATATGCATATGAATGTTATAAGTCTAGCGTACTTCAATATAAAGAATATACTCTCAGAATTACTGATAATGCTTTAGTCATACATAAAGAAGGTGCTGATGAAGACATTACCATCGGTCCTGGTATATTACCTATCGAGCAACCAGATGGTACAATTGTTGAAACAGACTTAAATCAATACCTTCAAGCGTTACAGAATCGTGTGACAAAAGTAGAGAATAATTACTTAGATGCTCCATTCTTCACAACTGATAGAGATTATATGTTTTCATGTATGGCGAGTAATGGTTTGCAAGAAACTCGTGAGGTAAATATTAATGAAGCATTAGAGACTATAATATATCATGTTAAACGGTTATTATCGATTGACCATGGAGTTCATTTTGACCCAAGGTCTACACTGTTCAATATACCAATGATTGAAAACAGTCAATTAACATTTAAAGAAGATACATTGTATAATGCTTTAAACGCAGCATTTGCTTATATATTAGGTCATGAACAAGTACAAAATAGTGGTATTGCAATATACTTAGATAAAGTTATGTTAAAGAAACCATTGACATTCACAGAAGATGGTCCAAAAGCAACTGGTATTGTTGGTGATGGAACATTATTGACGAAAGAATACTTAGCAAGTCATGTCGGAGAATTTTTCTCCACTAATGATAGCATCAGTACAACACCAGAAGTTATTTTATTGAAGAAACCAATCACATTTGATGTTAAAGGAAAGACAAAAGCAACTGGTATAGCTGGCGATGGAGTTCTTCTGACTAAGGAATACTTGAAGAAAAATATCAATGACTTCGTTGAAATTGTCAAAGATAAAGAATCTGGTCTTAAGTTCAACCCTTTATCATTCATCTTTGCCATAGCAAACGCCGGTGCTACTGCAGCCTCATGGATATCACTCCAGAGTCAAATAAATGCTCTTTGGGCTTTTGTTGAAAGTCAAGAAGGTATAGATACTGTTCTTGACACTCTGGGTAATCTTGGTCCAAATCATAAAGGAGGTTTTGTGGATGGAATAAAAAATTTAGTTGAAAAGACTAAAACAAGTTTCCAGAAGATAACTCATATAGAAAGATTCAGAAATGAAGGTTATATGGAACTTGAGAGTTTTGATGTGACTGGACCTTTGGAACCAATTCCAATGCCACGTGATGCTAATGATGAAGAAGAGAAAGATCCTGGACCAAAAACAATCATTTCTACGTTAAGTACTTTGTACCCTGATTTTGTGACCTTAGTGAAAGTTGCTAATACATCAAGAAAGAACAATAATATTAATATGTCTGGTACTGATGACCTTACTGATTATCTTTATCTCATTCTTGCTGAATTAGCGAAGAAAGTTGAGGAGAACAAAAATAATGGAGGAAGAACTGCACTTAAGATTGCAGACAAAGCTGACAAAAGTTATGTTGACGAAGAGATACGTAAAGTTGCATCTAAAGAATATACTTTATCACAGTCTGTCATACTTAAGACAATCAAAGGTCCAGAGAAAGATATGTACCCAGGTGATGGTACAACAGTTAAAGTTAATGAAAGAGTTTCATTCCCATCTGGTATTGATACAAAAGAAGTATATATTAATGGTGAAAACATCAATACAACATTGTTTCCTTTGAAAAATAATGAGTTCACTGAACCTTTGACAGTTAAATCAATTCGTTCAAGAGAAGACAAACCTGTTATAATCAATAAAATAGGAGCTGATAATGACCAACCAGTTCAAATCAAGAAAATAAGAGCTGATGACATTATCTTGAACTATACTTTAGGTTCAAGTGCTCCACAAGAAGATCCAAGCACTAGCGTAAAAGATACTCTTAACAGTTTAGATAGTAAATGTACGAACATTGAAGGTCATGCCAGAAACTTCGAAGTATATGAACTACCAGCAATGTTAGATAAGAAAGCTGACAAGAACCATGTTCATTATATAAGTTCAGATGAACAGATTATAACGGACTACCACGGATATTTAACACAGGGTGAAAAAGTGAATACGAAAAATGTTAATGAAAGAAGATATAAATTCATTCGTGCTAAAGGTTATGACATACACTGTACTGTACAGTATGACACAGGTATAGCACCACAATCATTTGGTTATAACGCTGAAATTTATGCTTCATACTTCTTTGTTAACGGTGTATTAGTTGAGCCAAGATTTAGGTTGAGAGTTAAGGCAAAAATAACCGTTGAAGATGCTATTAAAAGTAAAGCTGACAAAGATGAACTTGACGCAACGAACAAAGTTTTGAAATCTCATAAACACAATATCTCCGACATAAATTCACTTCAAACTTCTTTAGACAACAAAGCAGACAAAACTTATGTTAATGAACAGATCTCAAAGATCTCTAATGCATCTGTAAACAATGGAATACCTGAAAGCATTACAGTTAGCTTTGGTAATAATGATATGGGTAAAGTTGCAATATTTATAAATTATAACATTGGTCCATCAGAAAAAGGTCCAAGTTACTATACATTGAGTCATGGTAAATCTATTGAACTTGTGTTCCACAAAAAAGATGGAACAAACTTAACTATTCATCCTGGAGATACGTTTGAGTTTTATTTGAACGATGTCACCACAGTAGATTATACTTATAGACCTTCTAACATGTTTGACATGATGTATCCAATTGGTTCTATATTTACATCAATGAGCTCAACAAGCCCGCAAACCCTTTATGGAGGTGTTTGGCAACCGATTGTTGATCAGTTTCTTTACTGTTCTAACTCATCAATGGACTTTGGTGGTTCAAAGACTATCAGAGTTGAAAACCTTCCACCACACTCCCATAGGTTCAGTGCAACAACATCTACTAATGGAGAGCATTCACATTCAATGACAAAAAGAGGTTATACAAATCTTGCAGCAGGTTCTGATAGACAAGGTATGAATAGATATGATATCACAGATGACCCTAGAGATGTTAGTACAGGTATTTTCTGCGGATCTGCAGGAAACCATACTCACACAGTAGCTGGAATCACAGATGCAACAGGAAAAGGTCAAGACTTCTTACCACCATTTATGACTGTATTCGCTTGGTTCAGAGCTGCTTAACTCAAGATCACGATCACAAACTGTTTCTCAGTATGAATGAGTAGCTCTATTTTTACATCATTACTGAAGTATTTCTTTTCTTCATCAATGACAGAAAGAATGTTTTCATCATCTTTTAAAGATCTTACCAAAGTTAGATCTTCATCAGAAAATCTCAAAGAAAGACTCATTTATGCACTAATAAAAATATAGCTAATTATTTTTTTATCTGAACTTTTTATCGGGTATATAAAGATGTCTGAACATCATATAAAGTTCTTTAAGATCCAACAGTTTGTAGATGAAGTGAAGAAGCAAAATAAAACAGCAAAGAGACTACTTATATGCTTACCACAAACATTATGTCAAGGAAAGTATGGTTATAGTGCAAGTCCGATCATGATCTTTGTCGATAAGCAGAAATACACAAATGAAGGTTTAGCTAATTTACTCAAGTTTGAAAAGATAGCTATAAACATTCCTGACCATTTCTCAGCGAGAATAAACCTTGACAAGACTAAAAGTTATTGTTTATATGTAGATCTCACGAAATCAACAAAGAGTAAAGACAAAGAATATAACCCAGTTGAACTTAAGACAATGGGTAAGAACTTACTCAAAGCTGCTATCAAACCTGTCGAAGAGATCGACATTGAGGATGAAGCAGAAGAAATAGATGTAGATCCTGAAGTGTTATAAACGATAAAGTTTATTTTTGGAGGAAGATGGTGTCAGACCATTTGATCTGGCATGCTTGTTCTAGGTAATTGCAGAAACCTGGAAAGATTGTTATTGGTCTGAGTTTCATACCTGGTCTCTCATCTCTCCATTGAAGCAAGTAAATTTACATGAAGAGTTCGTCTGGATTCTCAGGCTTTGGTACACACTGATCGAAGATCTGTATGACCTCTTCATGACCGTACTCCCTCTGGTCAGACATGAGTGTTCTGAAGAACTTTTGCATCTTCGGACCAGGTTTAGCATCTATGCAACGAGTGGGTCTCATTGACATTTTTGTCACTTTTATTTGGTCGAATGGAAGGATTCGAGTTCATGCCACTTGACAGCAAAGAAGGTGCAGAAGAGGTTGTTGTTGCTGCATTCTATGCGAGCTCACACGTTGACGCATTCCGAACTTACCAGGATGACCTCGAAAAAGAAGGTCGAAAGCTTGGAAAGATCCAAATGTTGCTTGAGTTCTTCCGTGGAAACCTTGCACAGAAGTATGAGAAGAAAGAATAAACAACTAATTATTACTGAGCTTAGCTCATAAATGTAAGTTTTTACTCTGATCAGATCTTAGATCTCGTCGGGACAAGCGGAAAGGATAAAGTCCATGAGCTGGACTTTTGTCTTAGTGAGCGGTACTGCGGTCATGAGTAGTTCGCGCTTGTTTGAGCCACTTGGAACGCGACCCTTCCAATTCCTCATAGATCTCAAGGCAGAGATCGTGAAGAACTCAAGGACAAAGAGTCTTTGAGACTTGGTAAGGAATCCCTCATCATCTCTTTCATCCTGGAGGGTCTTTGTGGATGCAGTGGACTTGATCTCGTCTTCCTCGATCGGATCATTCTCATAATCTTCATCACCCTTCTTCCTAAACGTCATCTGCTCTCTCTTGTAGTCGTTCCTGAGAGCATTGAGTCCAGCTTCAAGATCTTGTGAGTTCTTTGCAGGTTTATTGAAAGTTTTCTTTTCCTGCATTTGCTGTATAAGCTGGGTTTGCTGTTGCATCATCTGCATCATCATTGCCATCATATCTAGTGTTGGTGATGCTGGAGCTGGTGTTGTACCATCTTGGGACATTCGGTCGTCGGTTATGTCTTTACAAAAGACTGCTTTACAAAAGACAGCTTTACAAAAGACAGCTTTACAAAAGACAGCTTTACAAAAGACAGCTTTACAAAAGACAGCTTTACAAAAGACTGCTTTACAAAAGACTCTTTACAAAAGACACAAACAGCTTTACAAAAGACTGCTTTACAAAAGCATTTTCTCACAAAATTGAATACTTTTGCTTTACAAAAGACGTCTTGACAAAAGATTGCTTTACAAAAGTCTGCTTTACAAAAGACGTCTTGACAAAAGATTGCTTTACAAAAGTCTGCTTTACAAAAGATTGCTTTACAAAAGATTGCTTTACAAAAGTCTGCTTTACAAAAGACAGCTTTACAAAAGATTGCTTTACAAAAGCCATGACTGATCTTCATCCAATTTGTTTAATCGAACTTAATGAAGTAATTTCTGCATATCTCCTGCATGTATTTGGAAACGAGAGGATAAGACAACTCACCAAGGTTTCCAGACGCCAGATCCAAAGACTTGAATCAACTGCAGGAGTAATCCTAAGCTTTGAAGAAGGATTAACCAATAAGAAAGATGTCATTGACTCCAAGCGTGAAAGCCTTGCTGCTTTCTTACGCAAACACCCATGGGTCGATGTTGATCTCCAAACTCCTTACCAAGGACTCGTTGAAACCTTCACGACCTACAGACAGCTCCTTGACAGACCTGAGCAGAACCTTCTGGTCGAACGTGATGGCACATTAAGCCCTACAGACGAGTCAATCCAGAGAGAAGAAGCTCAAGAGTAAAAATCTGACATTTATACTTTACATGACATTTTTTTCATGAGTGTTCACGTTAAGATCAATGATGAAAACATGACTTCATGGGAAGATATCATTGATGACATAGAGAATGACCTTGATGAAAACATGATGGGAGCTCAAACGTCAGTTAAGGTCAAACTTGGTGAAGTTCAAGAAAAGATCTCCGAGATCAATGCAAAAATATCTGCTCTTACAGAGGTTGACGTTTATTACAGAAGCTTGGAGAGAACTTTAAGCAAACTTGAACGTCAGAACCAAAGTCTCATAGTTGTGCTCCAGAAACTCAGTCTCATGCGTAAAGCATATAATGACTACCTACATGTAAGAGACTTACCTTCTTATTCTACTCCAGATCTCGACTTTTCCGATATAAGTCCAATCCTTATTGATACAACACTTACGATAGCAGGGATGCTTCCTACATATCCAGAATATGATAACTTACCTCAGCTCTTCGAGTATCTCAAGAAAAAGTTCATGATCTTATTATGCGAGACCATGAAAAGACGTCAAAATACCAGAACAGAACGAGAACAGAGCTTACTAATAGACTTATTATATAATACTAAAGAAATAAAGGAGTTTTTATTCTAACTTTGGTATTTTTGGGAAGAACTGATCTGGATCATATTTGTCAACCACAGGTTTTGGTATCAAAAGTCTCTCTGGTTCTTGGACGGCTGGTACTGGAAATGGTTCCTTTGGTTTCCTAGCTTTTGGGAGATCTAAAAATTTTCTTGGTCTCTTTCTTTTGTGTAAGTGTTGTCCATTTTTATCGACAACGAATGTGAGCTTTCCGTCGTCAAAGATGAATGTCGTCGCTTCTTCAGTTCCCTCATCAACTATTATCTTCTTGATCTTTCTCTTCTCCATTAACAGAAAAAGTGACATATATTACTTCATTATTTTTCTGAGTGTTAGGATTAATTAAACCTCTATCTATAACATGCTTTCTCATAGGAAATTTCTCTCCATATCTTTTTGTCAATATCTCTATAAGTTCTTCTGTATAAGATTTATCACTACTGAAGTAAATAGATGGATAATTAAGGACATCAAAGGTTTCTACAGTATCTTTAAGAGTCCATTCATCTCCATACTGTATAGAATAAGTATGGAAGTATGGAGGATCACATATAAAGAAAACATTGGGAAGATCTTTATACTCATTGAAGAGTATTCTCCAATCTTTATGAACAATAGTTAAACCTTCAAGATAGTCATCTATGTTTTCACCAAATAAGTTAGTATATCTGAGGTATAACACTTTCTTCATTAATGTGTCAAGATCATAGTATTTGTATGCTCCAGAATAGAGAAGACGTGAACATAATGTATCCCAGTCTATGTATGGAGCTTTACTTATAACTTCTCTGACGATCTCTTTCTGATCAGTAGGAATTTTCTCATCTGGCTTAACATTTATTCTCTCCTTAAGTTCCTTAAGTATTTCATTCGTGTCATGAATGTGTTTCAGTCTATCAACGTAGTTATCATAGTCGTTAGCTATGATCGTTGCTTTTGGGAACATAATATGCAACAGATGAGAGATATAGAGAGAACCACCAAATAGGTCAACGAAGACATAATCCCCTTTGATGTCTTTGAGTATGTCGATAAGATCTTTCCTGATCTTCGACTTATTACCTATGAAAGGTAAAGGAGGTTTGGTAAAAATCATTTATATGGTAATAAAAATAAGTGTTTACTTGAGACAATAACCTCTGTTGAGTTTGTAGAACAAGATCAGAAGTACGATCAAGTTCAAAACAACACAAATGGCTAGGATTGCGTTACCAACAATCTTTGTCTTTTCCCAGCAAGACTTCTTCTTTGGTTCATGTGCTGCTTCGACATCACTGTATGGCTCGGACATTAACTTAAAAAGTGTCATGACCACTTCATTTTTGATGAAGTCAACAGCTTATGTCCACTTCCTCCCACAAGCACTTGAGGGACAAGAGAAGGTCATCATTGACTACCTTCAAGCCACTGAGAAGCTCCAAAAGCTTCAAGATCTCCGCGAAGAGTTCAAGTCCCGCTTGAAACAGGAGAACTTACTGCAGGAGTACATGCTCATCCTTTATACACTCATTGATGGCTCCCATTTACCATCAGAGTACACTGCAGTTCTTGATGCACTCAAAGATCTTCGCGAACACCAGCCGATCGGTAAAGAAGCCTTCGAGCTCACCATTGAGCAAGCCATCTTCGCCAAGCACAATGCAAAGAAGCAGATGCTCGAAGCTCTTGACAAGATCAAAAAGTACGTCGAAAAGTACTAAAAATAATTACTTGAGTAAACGATAAGTTTTATTCATTGTTTCTCTTTTCAAGATATTCTTTCATCTTGACGTTATATTTTCCTAACTCATACAAGAACGTGTAGTATGAAACTTCAACCTCACGATGCTTTTCATACCATTTCATTATGAACATGGTAAGAATTGCTTCTTCGGGATTTGAGAAGGGATCTTCTTCACCAAATACGTTGTGATGAACTCTCATTGCTTTACCTACAGATATTGGTTCATCTTCCTCAGCAATTAGGTCAAAGAACCTTTGTAGTCTTTGGCTCATTGGAAATGTCACTTTTCGGTTAAACGATCACATACTTAAGACATAAATTATACCTACTTATTAACTCAGTATATTGTGCATTATATGCATACTTAAACTCTTGAGCAATATTGTTCTCATCAATGATTCTGATCTGAGCTATTTTTGAGAAAGGTGGTGGAATACCACAACATGTGATGTCTGGGTCCAGTAGGTCTATTTCACACTTGAACCCAGTCATTCTGTGAACAACTTCTTCCAAGTCTGGCTTAGGTAGTAAGATCTGATCTTTGCTCACTAAGTTAGAAAAGAGCTCTTTGTCTTGGTCTAGAAGTATCTTCTGGTATATACTAAGTAAATACTCTTCTACACCAATCCTCGATGAAGTCTCCACAGATCTCGATGAGGTCAGGTTGGAAGTTAATGGACTTAAAGGAGGAGGATACATTGGTGCTTCTGAGTTCGTAGTTGTTTCCTCTTTTTTTATCTCTGTTGGAGCATCACTTACTGTACCAGATGGATAGTTCTTTATCACAATGTTATTAGTTGTTCTTGAATCAACATTGCTTGTTGGTTCAATTGGAAGATTAGCTGCACCATAAAGAATTGACTTCGATCTCATTTGTTATGAGTAAAAATTGTTTTATTCTCATATAAATGACGAACATTAACCCAGAGAACAACACAGAATATACTGCAACAGGAGTTGTTTACAATGATCTAGATCAGATCGTCCAACTCAAAGCCCCAAGAGGAAGGAATTTAATAAGACAACCTCCACCAAAGATATATGTTGATGATGGTAGTAATGGGTTCAACTTAGTGTATCATTACTCATATCCTCAATATGCAAAAATTGGGTCTACCCCAAACGTGACAAACCATTATATGAACCTTTATGATGAAGCAAGGTTTCATGCACCAACGAAGAAAGAACCTGATGCATCAAGATTACATGAATTCGCAGACCATGATGGTTATAGCGATTACTCAATGCCTGTAAGACTTTAACGTTAATAAAAAAATGACTGTTGGTAAACAAGAAAAAACTTTAATACAAGAGGATTTGATGCTACCAATATATTCAACTGATATGGGAGCTTATCAATTCGATACATTTGAGAATCCTGGTGGAACACCACCATATTTTCTTTTGTTCATCAATGTAAACAGTAGAAAAGGTTATGCGTTCCCAATGAGTGAAAAGAACTCAAACAATGTTCTAAGTGCAATGCAGAAGTTCATTTCACAAGCTACAGGTGAAATGAAGCCTACAATACTTACTAGTGATGAAGACCCAGCTTATACGACACAAAATGTTCGAGATCTGTTGGTCAGTCATAACATTGAGCACATGACGACACAGAAATACAATCATAACATACTAGGTATTATTAATAGGTTCTGTAGAACTATTAGAACTATGTTACATATGAAGTTAAACCTCAAAGAAGGTGATAAAACACCACCTTTCACTGCAGATACAATGAGACAAATTATTAATGACTACAACACTGAATATCATTCAAGCACACAACAAAAGCCTGATGATTTCACAGAAAAGGATAATGAGGAATATATAAAGAAGCAAAGATTGAAAGAAGAGTATGTCAGAAAAAATAACCTTTATAACTTAAGACCTGGTCAAAAAGTTCAAGTCATAGTTGAACCAAGAACATGGGGTAAAGGTAACCAACAAAGAAGACATCTTGATCCTTCTTATTATACAGTTGATTCAGTTGATACAAGTGCATACTTGTTAAGAGCAAAAGATGGAAGTGTTGCAAGATATCCACGTTATCAGATATGGACAAAAATAGAGCATGGATTAAAGCAAGGAGAAACTTTAGATCAAGGAAGACACGGTGCTGTTAAAAGTATTGATGGTCATGAACTTGTCGGTAATGATGTAAAGTATGATGTTACGTTTGAGAACGAAAATACAGGAAAAGTGACAGGTAGAGGTATGCGTGAAGGTAATCCAAACAGGTTGTCACAAATGGAAGTACAGTATTGGAGGAAAAATATTAATGAAGGTCATGTTAAAGATATGCCTAGTTTTCTTGAGAAGTATCGTGGGTTTCGAGTTTAGCTTGTAAGTCCTTTATTTTTGTTTCATACAATGAGATCTTCCTTCTGATCTGTTCATCATTGAGAGGTTGCTTGACTTTACGGAACTGTACACGTCCGTCTTTCATTGTATGTACATAATATCCATCAGGAACCTTACCATCTTTTATATATTCAGTTAACCACTTTTGTTTAGTTGATGCTTTAATGACTTGACTCATTTCTTACTGGATAAATTTTTATGTTTTTTTCTTTTGACGATTTTTTCTTATCCTTATCTTTCTTCTTGTCCTTGTCCTTCTTTTTTTTCTTCTTCCTTGTCCTTCTTGGACTTCTCTGCTGCAGGTGGTGTTGGATTCTGTTTGACTTTAGCACTTGGGTCAGGACCTTGTCTTTGAGACTTAGATATAGATTGTTTAGGAGCTGCTGCTTGTTTAGTTGCTTCAGCTTGTTGTTTAGCTAATTCAGCAGCTTGTTTATCATTCTCTTCTATTTCCTTTGCACCAGTTGCGACTTCATTCTTGAACTTTTGGAGATTCTCAGCAGCATCCATTACCTTATTCGCTCCTTTAAACAATCCATAAAATTTCTGCCATGGTGATACTGAAGGTATATTTCCACCAATTGCTGGAGGAACTGATGCTTCAGGAGTTGGAGATGGTGTTTTGTCTGAATTGAGATGCTTTTCTGCTTCAAGAACTTGTGTAGTATTTTTCTCCAGGTATGCTTTTGCAACCTCCTTAACTTCTGGACGTTCATTATTTACATCCTGTCTTGGTGTTGATGTTTCAGTAGCGTTTTCCTGAGTTACATTAACAACAGGTTGCTCAACTGCTGAAACATTAGCTGCTTCAGTAATGTTATGAGTAGTTGAAACATTTCCTGATATACCTTCTCCTGTTGGAACTCTTGGAGCAATTGTTGTGATGTTCGCCATTGCAGGAGTTGGAGTAGGAGTGTCATCAATCTTTCTGTCAGCTTTCGTCGTTTGCGTTGTAGTATTTGTTGTTTCATTACCATATTTTGATCTTAGTCTGGTAAGCTCTAACTTCATATGTTCTTCAGGATATGCATACTTATTATATTCACCCTTAATATTCTTTTTCCATTCATCGTATTTATCTTCTGCTGATTTCTTAATTGATGCTAGTCCGTTTACAGCCAATTCATCAGTACCGTTATCAGTAGTCTGGTTATATAAAAGATTAGCAGCTGATCTAATTGTGTAATCCGTAAGATTACCAAAACGCTCTATTGTACCTAATGTTGTGTTCTTCAGTTCCTTTCCAATTCCTTGTGCAGCATCTTTGACTAAATCAGCACCCCATGCACCAAATTGTCTCACAGGAGCCGCTATTGATGGTGAAGGAGATGGAGATGGCGATGGAGTTGGTGATGGTGAAGGAGATGGAGATGGTGAAGGAGATGGAGTTGGCGATGGTGTTGCTGCTTTCGCCTTTCTATCAGCTTCTTCCTTAGCCTTTCTATCTGCTTCTTCTTTCGCCTTTCTATCTGCTTCTTCCTTAGCCTTACGAGCTTTTTCTTTCTTCTTAAGTTCCTCTAGTTCTTTACGTTCAGCTTCTTCTTTCGCCTTTCGTTCAGCTTCTTCCTTAGCCTTACGAGCTTTTTCTTTCTTCTTAAGCTCCTCTAGTTCTTTACGTTCAGCTTCTTCTTTCGCCTTTCGTTCAGCTTCTTCCTTAGCCTTACGAGCTTTTTCTTTCTTCTTAAGCTCCTCTAGTTCTTTACGTTCAGCTTCTTCTTTCGCCTTTCGTTCAGCTTCTTCCTTAA